AGGGGCTTGCCATTCTTTTCATCCTTGTCCCTGGCATCGGACTTGGGCCGTGCAAGCCACCAGGAGCATGAGGGTGAGAAGTGAGGGACTCAGCCCCAGCCTCATTTTCTCCCCAAAATTGTTTCCCTGACTGGCCTTCACTGGAATCCGGAAGTCAGTTCTGTCCCCCTGGGCAAGGACAGATAGTCGGAACCAATGCCTAAGCAACCACTCACTTGGGTGTATTTAAATAAAGTTGTGGCCAAAATCGTGCCAAAAACCCAAACCAAAATTGATGTGTGATGTGTGAGTTATTGGGGGGAGGCTTGGGGACCTCGACACGCAACTACAGATTTATTAAACATAAATCAGAACAAAAAAACATGTTGTCTCTCTCTCTTGTCGTCTCTGAGAGAACAGCAAAAGCTATACACAAACAGAAGTTCTTAGCATACTGTGCTGGAATGTAAACAGACGTGTGACACGCAACAATCTCATGCCTGTTCCTTAAGGTGGGATGGAAATGTCAACAGTGGCTCTCATGGGGTTTTAGGCAGAGATCTGTTCCCGCTTCCTCATCTTTTGAACGGGAGATGCCAGAGATTGAGCCTGGGACCTTCTGCATGGGAGAATGCTCTGCCTCTGAGCTCTCGCTCCTCCCAAATGCTATGTGAAACAGGGAGCTGCCTTAAGAGAGCCACAGCTTAAAACTGGCAATTTTTCTTGCTACTTTGACTCCTAGTACTTTGCCTCTTCTCTCCCATGCTCCTGTGATACCTCTACTAGCTGTTTCCTCTGGCTCCCATTAACTCTGACATGCTCAGCATATTGGCAACAAAGCAAGATGTCCCAAAAAACCTGATCCCTGTAGTGGTTTCTGCTGGCATGTCAGAGATCAGTTTAAATTTTACTTTGCTTCCAGTACACTAATTGAATACAGCAGAGCGGAACAGCAGGGGATGGAAACAGAGCACAGTGATTCCTGACAAAGATTTCTCTCTAGAGGCAAGCATTCAATTAACATCCCTTGTTAGACAGCAAAAACTAACTACCCTGAAGCTATCTGACTCTTATTTGTTCTTTCCCTGAAAACTAGGATTTCAACAGTTTGGGAGATATTCTCTTCAGAGTTTCAAAATCTCATGCAAGCCCTTGTGGCCTAGCTTATTCATGCTAGGTGGTCAGCTGATTTAGATATAAATTGGAAGTGTTAATTTGAAACAGGCCAGTGGTTCATAAACTTTGTGCCTTCAGGAAACTTTACAGAGAGAAATATCTGAAGCAGGCCGGTGGCTTTATCAATATTGTACCTTCAGGAGACTTTGCAAACAGAGTTCTCATGGTTGCTGACACATTTTAGCTTATAAATTCATATCAAAGGTGGGGGACAGAAAGTACAAAAACCTGATAAATACGTGTGTGCACATGTTCACATGTTCTGTCTTAATCCTGTTCTCCTAATCGTAGCCCAGTTTAAGTGTCATAGCATTTTCAAAACAAAGCTGGGTGTTTTGCTTTGTTCAGATCTTCAGAGGAAGGGGATTTCACTCTCTTTCTTAAATAAATAAATAAATAAATAAATAATGGAACAAATCGCTATCAATCCTGTATTAATATCCTTGCTATTCATACTTTACATGTAAACAGTAAGTGCAAAAAGTCCTTATTAGTCAAAGCTAAATATCATGGTTCAGTACAAGGAATTAAGTACAGTGGTACCTTGGTTCCCAAACACCTTGGTACTCAAACAACTTGGAACCCAAACCATGCAAACCCGGAAGTAAGTGTTCTGGTTTGCGATTTTTTTTAGAAGCCGATTGTGCTCCATTTTAAGTGTTATGCTTCCCTTTTGAGTGCCACACTTCCGTTTTGAGTGCCAGAGTGCATGGAAACGCTGTTTACTATCCCATCGCAGTGGTACCTATTTATCTACTTGCACTGGCGTGCTTTCAAACTGCTAGGTTGACAGGAGCTGGGGCAGAGCAACGGGAGCTCACCCCGACGTGGGGATTCAAACCACTGACCTTCTGATTGGCAAGCCCAAGAGGCTCAGTGGTTTAGACCACAGCACCACCCTAGTGTATGACGTGATCCTACTATATATTTGGATTCCCTACCCACGAATGTTCACAGGGGATTTTCAGTTACTGTTGTTCTTACTTAGAGTATATAGCTGTGGTGTGTAATGACAGACGGTGGCATTATTTCTGTCAGTATTTCCATCTGGGGGAAATTATACAGGCAATCTCCGGTTTACCCAGGGGTTACGTTCCAAGGCACCGTGCACATGGATGACGTCATGTATAATTGAAACCCATTGAATAAGACTGTAAACACCCCATTCTGTCCCACTCCCACCCCTGTTCTGCCCCTTTAGTGATGTTTCAGTGACGTCTTTATGACATTTCTGGACCATTTCCGGGTTTGGCACAATGTGCATATACATGACCATGCACATATTGAACGTCTGTAGACAGGGCTTGCCTGTACCATATGGGGAGAGAAAAGCCTTGCTAGAGCAGATAGCCACACGGCTATGCTTAAAACCCCAGCCATCATATCTTGCTGTGGCATAGATCTATCACTATGATAACGTTGACTTCAAAGTTCTCAACACACACATAAAAAAAAACGCCTTGTTTGCAAAGGAATAATTCAGACCCAACACTTGATGAAGAAGGAGAGGAAGTTGTCAGGGTTGCATGCTTCAAACAGACAGACAAGAATATGGATGAATGCTGGTCGTGCCCAGAAATAAAAAAAAAATTATGGGAAACGAACTATGAGGAAGTGAAAAAATTACTAAAAATTACATTTCATAAATAACAGGAATCATTCCTTCTTGGAATTCTAACTGATAATACTCCAAAAGAAAGATTAAAATTATTTTTCTATGCAGTGACGGCGGCTAGGGTATTAATAGCCAAGTATTGGAACAAGTCAAATTAAATAGTCCAGAAGGAATGGGATTGTCTAAATACCTACCTGTCGAGTCAAGGTTCAACAACCAATGGGTTTAGAATAAACCCATAAGTGGGAAAATGTCTCCTTATACCAAGATAAGGAATATATTGAAACACAGAGAAATGGTACTAGTTATAGGAAATGAACCACCATGAGGTCGACAGAAGTCGAAATCAATAACCAAAAGTATAATAGAAAGAGATTCACCCCAGAAGAGTCAGTATTCAGGTAAAGAATAGTCTGGGATGACTATTATAGTTACCTTGTATTATACTTATTTTTTTACTGTTTGCATTTGTTCTGTTTTCTTTTTCTTTTTTCTTTTTTTTCTTTGCTTTTTCCTTTCCTTGTGTATTCAGTAGAAATGTCTGTATTCTTTGTTTCATTTGTATCTGTATAATAATTCAATTTTTTTAAAAAAATTCTAACGAATATGGATGAATGCATTCACTGGATCTGTAAAATCCACAAACCGGAGCCAAATTGGTTCCATGTAAGAAAATCCACACCCTGGTGCAATTGGTGCACGTCAGCTGCTTCCAGCACTTATGAGCCCATATCAGTTTCACAGCCTTTACAGGAGAGGTCAGCGTGGAGGTTAAGCCAACAAAAGATCCATCTTCATTGATTGCACCTCTTCAGAGATGGATCTTGTGTGCTGGCTCTGCTGGCCCCTTTCTCCCTTGAACTTGGGGAAGCTTATTTTGAGCGAGGACCATATGATTACTCATCTGTCATTTCAAGGTCTCTGACCTGGAGTGTCACAAAGACTTTTTTGTATTGTTGTGGTGGAATTTAATTATGGTCACATTGGCTGTGCTCGCATGGAACACCTCAGGCTCCAACCCACACGCATACCCTTCGTCTAACACAACTGCAAGGAAGAATTTCGAAGCTTTTGCTTCCATTTTGGATTAACCATAGCTTGCCTTTTAATCCATATCTGGATAAACTGTGATTAATCTGACCTATGGTTTGTTGAAACAAGCCAACTTCATACCTCATTTGATGAACTGATCTGTTTCAGCAACCATAGTTAAGATCAACCACAATTTAGGGTTCAGAAATGACACGAAAGTGTGGTTAATCTGAAATGGAAGAAACATCTTTCAATCTCCTGCCCAAGGAGAAGGGTCATGCTATACGTTGGTTAAGCATTTTATAGAAATGGAGCATTGATGTATTGTCAAAATAAAGCATGTTCTCCCTAAAATGAGAGCACGTGTTGCAGTGGGGTCTGCCAGGCCAACCCTCTGTTGCCAGGCAGGTAAAAGTGAGCTGGCCTGGGGCAACGATTGGATGGCCGGGTTGCTGGGGCAAATTGCATGTAGCAATTTGGGGGGGGGGGACCAAAGGCTTTAAATATTGGGGCACTCAGCTTTTGCTTTCTCTTTTGCTGAGTGCATCAGATCACCCGCCCGCCCGCCCTGAGTTCCGGTTGACCTTGCTATGCCTGTCATGGGGTTGTCTGCCATTGGAGCAGGGGCCTAGTAGGAATTTTGTCCATTTGGCTGATTGGCTGGTGCCATTTGGTTTTTGCCTACTACTTAGCAATTCGTCACAACTTGTAAGGTTGCGGTTACGCATTGGTTATAAAAATTGGTGGAGGAGGGGTAAGGAAAGGCTGGGCCTGCCCCTCCAATGGTGGTGTGGAAGGGAATTCCGTTAAAGGAATCCAGGGGCTTGCCATGATTTCGTCCAATCCCTGAAATGGGACCAGGGCTGGCAAGCCTTAGGGAGCAGGTTGGGTGAGCGGTGAGGGACTGTCACTCCGCTCAACTGATCCCCAATATTGTTTTCCTTTCACTGGCTTCCGAGGGAGTTCAGAAAGTCAGTTCTGTCCCAGGTGGGGGGACAGATAGTCATAACCAATGCCTAAGCAACCACTCACAGATTATGTATTTTAATAAAGTTGTGGCCAAAATTATGCCAAAAACCTTTAAAAAAAATTATGTGTGATTTGTGAATTATTTTGAGGGGTGGCTTGGGGACCTCCACACGCAAGCAAATCTTGTAGACAGGAAAACGTGAACTATAAGCTGATTTTTCCCCTCTTTTCTTGTCCACAGCACGCATTATAAAAACAAAACAGTGGTGTGAAATGCTTCCATGTTTAGAAGGAGAAGGCTGTGATTTGCTAATCAATAAATCAGGCTGGACCTGTACACAACCAGGTGGGAGAATAAAGACAACTACGGTAAGCCTTTTCTCTTCTTTGTATACCTTTGCGTTCCACCTAAACTATAACTTTTCACTCATCAAACAGGTGTTCAGCCATAAATCCCACACACAAACACACCATTAATATGTGTGTGGAATCCAATATGCTTAGGTATCTGTCAGCAATTATAAGTTATGCTTGGCCATTGCCATATGCACTCTGGAACTTGTCGCCTTGCCTGCTGCATGTGGGGTGGCCTTTGAAGACAGCTCAGATACTTCAGATGGTCCATAGGATGGCACCAGAGCTTCTGTTGAATATAAGACTCTGGAAGCATGTGACACCAGTTTTATGTAAGTGGCTAAATTCAGAGTGGTGCTTTTCCTCTTATACTTAAATAGCTGGATCTGAAGCACCTTCTCCTATATATGTCCCTTTGAGATGTTGCCTAAGGCATCACCACTGTTTGAAATAAGGTTTTCTGTTACTGGAAATCTGTCGGTTTGGGTGCTAGAATCTGGATTATGAAAGTCTGAGCCTAGAAAGCCTTACAAGGTCTACGCTGTTAGATTTCTAGGCATTCAGGGAAGTCAAACCGATAGCTGGCTTTTTACGTAAGAAACTTTTAGATGAAAATTTGAGTTGCTTTTTGAGCATTCTTGACTTGTTCGATGAAACTTTTAATACAGTTTTATGGTGATTTTGATCTCTTTTTTTATTTTGACTGTAAGCTGTTTTGAGCACCTTCAGGTGGGAAACTGAAATATAAATCAATTAATGCAAATAATTCAGACCAGGAAAGTTTAAGGGAAATGTCACCGTATCAAATATGTGGCTGAAATCATTCTCTGAGTTATGCATTTGGCAAGACCCTATTGCTGTCTTTACACCTCACTTCCCACCTGATCCTGGCTGTCCACCAGATGCCTAATCACCCTAAGCAGCTTACACAGCTTAGTTTCACTAGGCCAGGACAATATTCATTGGCAACCTGCTCCCCCTTCCCCAGGAAATTTACTTGAGATGTACTTCCTTTGATTGTCATTCACTCATGTTTGTATTCCTGATCCCACTGGTTCCATGCCATATTTTGTTGCAGAACTAATCAGTGAAAACTGAATCATCATAATACATGAAGAGAAACCAGCATTAGAGTCTAAAAATAACAAGATGACTGTAGTTTGTAAATTTGCAAGTGTATAAACCCCTAGGGATGTTGTAGTGATTTTAAAGTAAGTCAGTGTCCCCCCCTTTTTTAAGGTCAAACTAGACATGGGCATTAACCCATGTTGTTTGGCCTTCTGTTTTCTTCCTTTTTGTTTTTCACAAATAATGGGTGATCTGGATTTGGAACAGTGGCATGGGGAGAGGCCTTAAAACTTTGACTGCTACTGTGGCTTCATTCAGGATTGTGCAATGTGAAGAAGGTCCCCATCAATCCAGAGACATGGAAGTTCTAGACATGTCTTGCACCCAACTGGTGAATCACCAAACAGAGTACACATTCAGTTGCCTGACCTCCCAGGCAATTGACAATTTCCTTGTTTTTATTTCCCAGCACATATTTATTGAGTCTTGGGGGTGTGGAGGGCCTGTATGTTCTATGGCTGGTGGATCATGTTTGGCTTGGCGTTCACATTGTACAAGCTTTCTTTTATCCCTCTGAAGCAGCAGGGGTGGTGATAAGCAGCAGCAGGAACACTGTGCGTATTGGGACTAGGATGGAGTGGGGCAAGGTACAAGCAATGTCAAGGGAACTCTGGTTTGACAGTGGCAGCCCTGGAGATGTGTGCATATATTGCCACCACCAAAACTGAACTCACCTAATCTCACCACTGCCATGCCCCTTCGTCTTCCTGGTGAGTGTACCACTACCACCAGGAAAACTCTACTGCTTGTCCCCAGAGAATATTATGTACAGTATCTTTCCCCCCTCAATGGACTATTAATTATATGTTGTGGTTTTCACTCATTTGTCTTTATTATGGCTTGAGTTCCACAAAGATTTGCCCCCCAAAGTATTGTGAGCTGTGCTTGTTAACTGTATCATAAATGATCTAGAGTAAGGGATGAGAAGCAGGGTTTCCTGATGATGTAAAATTGTTCAGGCAAAGCAAATAGAAATTGCAAGGAGCTCCATAAGTATAGCTCCAAACTGGGTGAATGGGCAGTAAAATGGGCAAAGGCAGCTCAATGTAAGCAAGTATAAACTGATGTACACTGGGGTTAAAAAAACACACCCAATTTTACATATACTGTATGCTGCTGGGGTCTGAATTTGTGCTGGCTGACCAAGAACGAGAGAGACATTGGGGTCATAGTGTATAACTTGATTAAGACATCAACTTGGTGTGTGATATCTGTGAAAAAGGCAAATGCCATCCAATGGATCATTCAGAAAGGGTCTTAACAACTAAACTTTTATTTATCATAATGGTGTTATACAAATCTATTGTGTGACTACACTTGGAATACTGTGTACAGTTCTTGTCTCCTCACCTCAGAAAGCATATTTATATGTTGGGGAAAGGTACAGAAAAGGGCGTCCAAAATGATCAAGGAGTTGGTTCCAACATTTGGGGTTGTTTAGTTTAGGGTAAAAGGAAGAGCAGCTTCTCCTTTTCACGTTTCAGGGATATAACTTGGCAGTGTTTTCAAAGCAAAAAATGCACTATTCTGTTGGTGTTATAGGGGAGATTAATTTTAGCACCAAAGTGTATATATATTGTCAATGATCCATCACTACTTAATTGTTACTTAATTAATTCCTTCTTTTACATGATGCGATTATAAGGCATGGAGCTTAACAGAACATTCATGCTCCAGTTCCTCAGCAGCTAACCTTTTTCAACTTCTGCGATTTTACTGCTAAATTGGCTGAAGTGGGAAATTAAGGAGTATGAAGAAGCTAAAAGAGAGCTCACAGTAGATAAAGGGTGTAATTACTCTGACACAGAGCTCAGTGCTTGGCTAGTAAAATTTACTAAGGATCCAGCTTCACCAAGGGATGTGACTTTCTTAATAGAGTTTACTTACACACAGAGCAACTTAGCATCCCCCACTATTAATATAAATGACATGCTGGTTGGGTGGGAAAGGTAATTTGTTCCTTACCATCAGCTTTATTATACTGTAGTTCGTTTCTACTAACTGAAATCCAAGTGAATTTTCTTTTGCTACTATTCCGTACAAGCCCAGCCCCAAATAAATAAATCTATGGGCTCAGTTAGATCAAACAAAGGGAGTTGCCTCCATACTTACCTCCATCCTAAATGGTGGCAGATTTGGAAATAAACAGGTTTTTCTTACCATTTTATATCAGTAACCAGTTATCTGAACATGGGAGTGGGTGTCAGCAAATCTGCCAGAACTATAATCCTACTTCAAGCAGTGACTTCAGCTGTAAAACGTTTTTTTCCCCAATGCCAATTACTATAAAGGAGCAATAATTATCTCCATGAAATAATGGAAAGGGAGAAAGAAAGAAAAATGTATCTGACCTTAAACTTTATTATGAATCAGCAGCTTTTTGCTGGCTGAAAGAATGGCTACTTCTTGAAAACACAGACATTTTGGATTTAGAAGGTTTTAACAATGTATTTGGATGGCATGCATATTTATGGTATGATAAGGTCAAAGCACACAAAGCATTCAAAAATCATATTGTTAGGAAAGCATTGTTTAATGTCTGGATAAGATACAAAGACTTATTGGAAAATAAAACCCCAAGGTGGCTGTCACCAATGGAAGCAAAAGCTCTGAAAAGGCTCAATATGGAGGCCAAATGGCCGACATATTGGGAAATTTTGGAGCAAGAAGGAGATAAATTGAGATTGCAGAGTTTTGAAAAATTAAAAAATAAAGTGAGAGATTGGCTCCACTACTACCAGATAATGGAGGCATATAATTTGGATAAGAAAATAGGCTTCCAAGAGGAAAAGTCAAAATTAGAAACAGAATTGTTAGAACCCAAAACTAAAAATTTGTCAAGAATGTATAACTTGCTGTTGAAATGGAATACTCAGGATGAAACGGTGAAATCTGCTATGATTAAATGGGCACAAGATGTTGGCCATAATATTATGTTTGCTGACTGGGAACAGTTATGGACCACAGGTATGAAGTTTACGGCATGTAATGCCTTAAGAGAGAATATTATGAAAATGATATACAGGTGGTACATGACCCCAGTCAAGCTTGCAAAAATTTATCATTTGCCCGATAATAAATGTTGGAAATGTAAAGAAACTGAAGGTACATTCTTTCACCTTTGGTGGACGTGCCCAAAGATTAAGGCTTTCTGGGAAATGATATATAATGAACTGAAAAAGGTATTTAAATATACCTTTCTGAAGAAACCAGAGGCCTTTCTCTTGGGCATTGTCGGCCAATTGGTGCCAAAGAAGGACAGAACCTTTTTCATGTATGCTACAACAGCAGCAAGAATACTTATCGCAAAGTATTGGAAGACACAAGATCTACCCACTTTGGAAGAATGGCAGATGAAGGTGATTGACTACATGGAACTGGCGGAAATGATTGGCAGAATCCGAGACCAGGGAGAAGAGTCGGTGAAAGAAGACTGGAAGAAATTTAAGGACTATTTACAGAAATATTGCAAAATTAAGGAGCTTTAGAAGGATGTTGGATAGAAACTAAGAGGTTTTTAGCTGTAATGCTTTAAGAGACATGGGAAAAAAGGTTAACAATTGGGTAAAAGATTAATGGTAAGGATTTGCTGAACCAACAAATTGAATTGGAATACAAAGAAGGGAGGTATGAGGAGGTCCGGGGAAATAAGAGTAAGGAAGATAGGTTATGGAACATTATTGTGTTTTTAACTGTTTTATTTTGTATGGTTTTTTTCCTTATTTTTTACTGTTTTTGTTATATCTTAAAACTTTATACTTTTTCTTTATTCTGTACTTTCATGTATCTTTAATAAATATCTTTTAAAAAAAAAGAAAGAAAGAAAGAAAAATGTATCTGATATAAGGCCCAAATGGATAGCTGTTACAATACTGGAAGAAATCTCAGTCTGATCACACAAATATTTGCATTGGTATCCCATACCCTCCCATACTGATCAAAACCAAGACACTCGTTTTTTTGGTCCTGAGCTCTCGTGGGAGAGATTTGTGCCACAGCACTGGCCAAAAAATGGGACATTCCAGGATCCGATCAGAACTAAGATCACATAGCTCTCCCTGGGACAATGGTTCAATTACTACTGGTGTGTGTGTTTGAGAGAGAGGGGGAAAGAGAGAGAAAGAGAGAAAATCCTTCAGCTCAGTTATAAATAGGATGCTTTGCATTTCTCAGGTTTAATCCCTAGCAGAAGTGTAGAAAAGACAGGTGATACCCGGTGCAGAAAATTTCTTGTCACCCCCCCCCCCCGCAAAAACAGTTTTACAGTGGTACCTCGGGTTACATACGCTTCAGGTTACATACACTTCAGGTTACAAACTCCGCTAACCCAGAAATAGTACCTCAGGTTAAGAACTTTACTTCAGGATGAGAACAGAAATAGTGCTCTGGTGGCACAGGGGCAGCAAGAGGCCCCATTAGCTAAAGTGGTGCTTCAGGTTAAGAACAGTTTCAGGTTAAGAACGGACCTCCGGAACGAATTAAGTACTTAACTCGAGGTACCATTGTACGTTGTTTCAAATTTTCTTACATAGGAATGTGGATTCTGAGCCCCTGATAACAAGTAGGCGACTGTGGACAGATACTTAAATCTTCAGGATGGGTTGTGTTTTGGCTCCACTGAATTGAAAGTTCAGCCTTCACAACATATGAAAACAGCCAAGTAAACAGTTATTTTCGTGGAGGAGGGTCAAGATATTAACTGATATGCATGAAATTTCAGATATAGCTATATAATCCCTAGTGTAGTAAGATAAGAGCTTTGGAGCAGGCATTTTTTTTAAAAAAAGAAGTTTTTTATGAACCACCCTAGTAGGGCAGTAATTGTTCCTTGATAGTTTGTCACCCCCCTCCATGATGGTACCTGGGGCGAACCCTCTGCCCCCCGCCCCCCTTCTAACACCCCTGATCCCTAGTGTTGTTGTTTAGTCATTTGGTCATGTCCGACTCTTCATGACCCCATGGACCAGAGCACGCCAGGCACTCTTGTCTTCCACTGCCTCCCGCAATTTGGTCAAACTCATGCTGGTAGCTTTGAGAACACTGTCCAACCATCTCGTTCTCTGTCGTCCCCTTCTCCTTGTGCCCTCCATCTTTCCCAGCATCAGGGTCTTTTCCAGGGAGTCTTCTTCTCTTCTCTTCTCATGAGGTGCTGATCCCTAGTATCTTCAGCTTTTCTCATATACAGCAAACCTTGGTTCCCAAACGGCTTAGTTGCCGAACAAATCGGCTCCCGAACATTGCAAACCCGCAAGTGTTCTGGTTTGTGAACGTTTTTTTCGGAAGCCTAACATCTGACACAGCTTCTGCTTGAGTGCAGGAAGCTCCTGCAGCCAATTGGAAGCCACACCTTGCTTTTCAAATGGTTTTGGGAGTCGAACGGACTCCAAGAACAGATTAAGTTCGAGCACCAAGGTACCACTGTATACCACTGCATATGGTCTCTTATCATGCCAAATTATCTTCAGTTCTTCACTCTTTTCGTGTGTGTTTTTTGAGTGGAGATTAGTTTATAAAGTGGCATTAACACAATCCATCAACCAGTTCAAAAAGAAAAAAACACACCAAAGATCAGCTATTACAGAAACAAATCTACAGAGCGATCTGTTGAATTGTTGAGATTAAAATGTCAAAAAGACACTTCCAGTTGCTGGGATAGTTGCAGTATTAACTTGAACCTCTTGCTAATCCTATATATTCTTTCAAATCCCCGATGCTCTATAAAATAAAGCTACCTCTTTATGTAATATTACTTTAATGATCAGCAAAGGGTGCACCCAAGTCAAAGTATGTAAAAGTGATGAGATATTAATACTAAGTTTGAAAATATTAATCTCTCCCGTTGCCTTTTCTGAGTACAGATGTCCTGCAGGAAAAGGGTTCTAGCCACGAACTTCTAATTTTCATCTGTTCTTCATCCCCTATAGGATTAAGTCGGTTTTCATTGCACATGCGTAGATTACAGAGCCAATCAATAATGCCAGTGCAAACTTTTTGCTCCAAGCTTCTGTTTAATAGCATGCTCTTGAAACATTTTATTTTAAAGCTTTCCCCTTCTTGCCCAGAAGTTGTCAGTGGGTGATCAGTACAATTCTCAGGATTAGTAATTAACTGTTACTTATCTAGTAGCTGGTATATGCTACTTATGCTAAATGAAAAAGAAGGACATTGAAGACGAGTCTAGATATAAGCTTCCTGTATAGTTTATTCTAAAGTTTATTCGGTTTCTAAGTATGTGTTTCTTTGAAACTCCCTGTCTTTAATATGAAGCATATGCCTTTGATGTAAGGTCTGTCACACCTGTGGAAAATATTTCTTGTTGCTAAACCTAACCAGGCAAGCAATTTTGTCGCAAGTGTTTGTTTTTTAAGTTGTTGGTTTTATATCATTTTGGTTAATTTTATCATCTCTACTATTTCTAAAATCTGCTTTAACATTGTGATGTTAAATGAATGTTATAATAATAATAATAATAATAAATTTTATTTATATCCCGCCCTCCCCAGCCAAAGCCAGGCTCAGGGCGGCTAACAACAAACAAATAATCAAACAATCAAATAATCCAACATTCTAAAACATTTCATTATAAAAATTAATTAAAATCAAATTAATGGCAACCGTTAAGCAAAGTTCTGTGCAGGTTGCCGGAGGTGGGAGTCAGGCTGGGCCCTGACCAAAGGCCTGGTGGAACAACTCTGTCTTGCAGGCCTTGCGGAAAGATGTCAGGTCCCGCAGGGCCCTAGTCTGTTGTGACAGAGCGTTCCACCAGATTGGAGCCGCAGCCGAGAAAGCCCTGGCTCTAGTTGAGGCCAGCCTAACCTCTCTGAGGCCTGGGACCTTCAGGATGTTTTTATGTAAAGCACTTTGAAATTTATTATTATTATTAAGCATTATATAAATCGTGTGCACCAAGGCCCTGAGGCCTCCTGCATATGTTGAATAATAACACCTGGAAATGGTATTTTAGGTTAATGGGCAAATAAAGGCCACCACTTTTACTGGTTACAGAATGTGAGTGGTATTGGCTTAGGCACTGAAACTGAATCGACTACATCTGACTCCTGCCTAAATCTTGCTAAACAAAAGAAAGATACTCTGCACATGCTCAGAGGCCTTATGGTCCTTGACAAGTTCTTGGAGTAAGGCCTGGCATTCACTGAAGTGAAACTGGCAAGTCTTGCCTCAAATTTAGCCCTGGAGGGTAGGAAGTATTTGATTGTTTTACTATTTTTATGGAAGTAGCAATTGACCTATCTGATTCAAATTTGGCCATGGTGTTCCTTCATCTTTTTTTACCTTTATGCGCTTCAAGGTGAGCTCTGATCTTGAAGTCAGGGGGTTGTATCTCATGCGTCTGTCTACCCAAGGGAGCTTATGGAAGCTTCAACTGTAGTCTGCTGTGCTTCCCGAAAAGCTTCTCCTGAATATTGCTTATAATAAGCAATTAACATATACTGAGAACATGCAGTCTACCCACACCTTTTTATGCAGCAGATGGATTGTGTTGGTGGGGCTGGGGACTACTCCTGTGTGGATGTACACACGTAGATGTTGTAAAACACAATATGGTCTAGGCTTCTGAATGCCAGGCCACTGTCTGAGTCATCATAAGAATATTCTTCATCTGTTGCTGCTGAAATGTGACTTTCAAAGTCACAAAAATTAGATAGATAGATAGATAGATAGATGATATAGATATAGATATATGCATTTTAAATACCACAGTTGAAAGCATGACCTACCAATAACACATATAATCCCTTCTACTGCTAATCTATGAGCTAAAAGCCTCTTAAGGTTTAAATTTCTTCCTGAAACCTGGAGAAGAACTACTTCTCAAAGATCATTTCATAACCTTGGAGCCAAAGTTGTAAAGGATGGGAGATGTGAATCCTGCACGTGTCCAGATGTTTGAAAATTCTGCAATTTAGATCATCCCTAACCAGCGTGGTCAGGGCTATCTGCAGAAGCTCTAACATGGCCTGATCAGATGATCAGATTGTAACAAAATGACTAACTAAATAAAATGATGTTATGCCCATGAGAGTAATGCTTAATAACACTTGATCCTTATGAACAGTCCTTTAATTTAGCTTTTCAGCTATCGTGGGCCCAGTTGCAGCGCAGCCAGCTTTTAAACCCGGGCCAGTGGACCAGAGGAAACTTTGTCACTCTGGTCCATCTTCCAAACCCCTTTCGCTTGGCTGCCCCTGATAGGGCAGTATAAACATTTGGCTTGGCAGGGTTTTAATCTGGCAATGTGGCTGGACTAGGGCACTTAAAACAGCTGGCAATGGAGAGCCTACTGTGATCCAGTCATATACCAATTTACCTGGGAATACTGAATGCAAGATACTTCTGAGTAGACATGTATAGGATTCTGTTCTTGGCTTATGCCTTAATAATTGTAGTTTTTGGTCTGGATGAACATCAAGTGTGTGCTCTTAGTAGCAATCAGTGAAGGAGAAGCCAAGGTTTCTCTTTGCAGGTATTAGGGAAAAAATCAAGTTGCCCACGATGAAGGATTTTTCTACGTACATAATATCATATGTATGAAACATAATATCATAGTACAATGCAGCATAGAAAACTTCCATCAGAAAAATGCTCTGCTTTCTCCATTGACTACTTGGTTATATAAAACACTGGCTGTATACAGTGTTTTAGGATGTTAGTAAATAATATATAATAAGAAGCAGTTTATAGATGTAAAGAATGCATAAATAAATAACCATCAGTATTATTTTATGAAGTAGTATTTATGTTGGCATAGGGGCGTGGGTGGCGCTGTGGTCTAAACCACAGAGCCTAGGGCTTGCTGATCGGAAGGTCGGCGGTTTGAATCCCTGCGATGGGGTGAGCTCCCGTTTCTTGGTCCCAGCTCCTCCCCTCCTAGCAGTTCAAAAGCATGTCAAAGTGCAAGTAGATAAATAGGTCTATTTATCCAGCAGGAAGGTAAAAGGCGTTTCCGTGTGCTGCTTAGTCATGCTGGCCACATGACCCGGAAGCTGTCTGCGGACAAACGCCGGCTCCATCGGCCTGTAGAGCGAGATGAGCGCCGCAACCCCAGAGTCATCCACGACTGGACCTAACAGTCAGGGGTACCTTTACCTTTATTTATATTGGCATTAAGCAATCTATTGTATAAAACAGGATTAAAATAAAAAGTCAACAAAATAAACAGACCAAAAAGAGAGAGGAAAATACACCTTACCCCTCAGACAAGCCAGTCCTTTGAACAGCTTGGTTAAAACTCAATACGAAAAGCTGTTGAGAGCACAAAATTAGCATGTACTAAACAGAAAAAGCTAAATCAGATCCAACCCTCATCTATTTTAAGCTGTAAAGCCGGGTTAGCTCTTCCAGACATTGCAGGAGTACAGTTCATGTTAGTCCTTATGCAGACTGGGGCTGATGGAAGTTGTAACTACAATCAAATTTGCAGGGGCACTATAAATTCCCCATTTGTGCTACCAAACAATGTATATTGAGATTCCTGCATTGTACGGGGTTGGACTAGATGGCTCTCAGTGTCCCTTGGAATTCTACAATTCTATAATTCTATGCATAGTTGTATTAAATGTCACTGTGCAATCATCACAATATCCTTATATCTGAGCAAATGGCACATTTCATGTTGGCTTAGAACAATTTTTAAGGATGGCACAAAGTACCTAATGGTGATTTAGAGTAAGAAGAATCTGCTTTGCTTATAGATTTCTCTTTGTTATAGCTGCCAAGAGAAGATTAAAAAAATAATGGGTGAGAGGTTAGAAAGTCTTTGAGGCTGACATGGTAAAGAGAAACAATTCTCATTTTATTCTCAAGATATTCAATAGCAGACATTGTTCTGTTTAACCATTAAAACAAAGAGTGCAGTGTGGCTTAAGGTGATGTTCCGGACCAGTTTCTGCATTTTGTCCCTTGTAATTTACTGGCTGTTATTTCATTCCCCTCCCTGCCAAACAACAACAGCAACCTATCACTATCAAAGATTGAACATTGACTTTATTTTATTACTGAAAATTCAAACTTTATTTCAGATTCCAGTCACCTGCCTGAGAAAGCCAACAATGTCAGAAATCCAGAATATTTCATTTCCAAGCTCTTTCCCCTGCTTGTTAGCTCAGATTATGGGAAATGCTGGTTGATAATACCAGAGGTATCTGTGACAGTAAATTCTTGAACTATGATAAATGATGAACTTGGTACTGAAGATTTCATTTCATGAAATGTATGTTCAATTTCAGGTGGTGTTGGTTGTTTCTGTAGAAGTCTAATTACCACAGTGTAATTTTACTGCATTGTATGAGGAGATATGGAATCTCTGTTAATGCTTGATTGGTAAAAGCTCACAAGAGATCCCTTGATATTCCAGTTGCTGAGCGATGAACCATATACTTAATTGCCTCCCATGCAAAAACAACACTGTCACCTCTAGTGACTTTTAACTTCATTGAACCAAGTAAAATGGGCAAGGTTTGCTGATAGAAGGGGGCAGGTTGATAATTTTGTAAATCTAAGGATTTGGGTCTTTCAGTCGATAGCAATCCTTGTGGAAGGGTAAAACTTTTCAGGGGTGTCTTAATAGGACCTGACTTTAGGAGGAATAAACACCTGGGGAGGGGATGTAGTAGCAACGCAACCTGTTTTTATAAGGTTCAAACAAGAAATTTGCAAGAAACAGCACAATATTACTAGAATAAATAGCAACAATATAATAACAGCATTAAACAGCAAGTTGCAATACGTTTATCAAAAATAGCAGCATGCAGTAATTAATAAATAAAAATGCCAGTCATCTATTTTAAAGGACCCCAATATTTAGGGTTGCCATATTTCATAAAGTGAAATTCTGGACACAAAACCTACTCTATTTCTCATCTAGAAGAAAAATTACTCCATGTCATCCCCACCTACCCATCCCCCAACATCTAGGGCACTTTATAATATTACCACCCTCTACCTCTCCTTTCCAAACTAAATAAGATACCTTCAGGTGTGGTTGATGGTGGCATCTTCCATTGTAAACATTTCCAGGGAGGTAGTCATGTTTGGTTCTTGTAACAAAAAAAAAAAAAAAAAAAAAAAACTATCTCGTGGCATGCTAAAGCCTAACAAAAGTATGAATTATGAATGGCATTGGCTTTCATGGACAGATGCACAACATCAGATGCACATGAGAAATAAAACCCAGAAACATGAGGAGTTAGGAGTCCATCGTGGTTTATTGCAAAGCAATAGGTTACAGTCGGATCGTTCTGTGAAACCTGCAACCCCTCTCGGTGATTCAGGCAGTGGTATTTATAAAGTTTCAGACAAAGCATTTCAGTTTTCACCTATCATATACATCATCACCTCATTTCATGTTTAACACACATGCTCAATAAGCACTGGCAATTTTGCTGGTTCAGTGTGGTTCCCACCGTATTCTGTTACACTGTGTTAACAGAATACTTCTGCGCATGCGCAACCGCCGAAACCCGGAAGTAACCCGTTCCAGTACTTCCAGGTTTCGGCGGTCCATAACACAAAAAGAAGCAACCTGAAGCATCTGTAACCCAAGGTATGACTGTAAATGTTGGGAACTTGTGTTACGTGTAGCCATTTGCACCTTGTAGCAACTTATGTTCCAGCTTTCGGCTATATCTTTGTGATTATTTAATGCTGTACTGTTTTTAACATTTGATCGGGAGCCGCCCAGAGTGGCTGGGGAGACTCAGCCAGATGGGCATGGTATAAATAATAAATTATTACTATTATTATTATTATTATTATTATTATTCACATATTAGCTGTATTCCTGCCCCATTGCTGGGGGAGCGGGGCAACTTGCAAAATCATCAGTTTCATACAGCAGCAGGTTACCGTAACTTTCTCTATTAGAAGCACACTCAAGGATTTCCAGGGGCACACATTTTCACATTTCTTGTGGCCCTTTGGGCCACCACCACATTCTCCCCCCTTCAAGCTTAAAAGTGTGAGATTACTCGCAACATTTAGTTTGACCCTTAGGTAACTCATTTTGATCCTCCTGGGGCAGTGGGTGGTATTGCAAAAGGAACTGCTTTTGGGCTATGTCTGAAAGCATTTCAGAAACCAAGCAACGGACTAAGGCAAGTTGGCAAGGACTCATGGCCACAACAAGCTCTGCGAGATATACCCATCCTGGAAAATGTATGGTACATTCAGTGGTCTTGGCAACTCCCAGTAGTGGGCCAGTAGAATCACTGGGAGGTTACATTGCTTGAGAGCCAGTTAATGGTTAAGAGTGGTGGACTCGTAATCTGGTGAACCGGGTTCGCTTCCCCGCTCCTCCACATGCAGCTGCTGGGTGACCTTGGGCTAATCACACTTCTCTGAAGTCTCTCAGCCCCACTCACCTCACAGAGTGTTTGTTGTGGGGGAGGAAGGGAAAGGAGAATGTTAGGCGCTTTGAGACTCCTTCAGGTAGTGATAAAACAGGATATCAAATCCAAACTCTTCTTCTTCTTCTTGAAGCATCTATTTAAAGGTCACATATTGTTCCTTCCATTTCCCCCATTGCTGATTCTGCCACTTTCTTTGCTCAAAGCAGGTTCAATGAAATATTTCACTTTCTTAGAAACTGCTGGTCAGTCTATGGGGAAGGTTTTCCCAGCTCTACGCATGGGGAGCAATGGGAAATGTTGTCCCCGCTACTGGATTTCCAGTAGGTTTGGCATTTAATCCACTTTGAGAGACGACTTTTAAAGAGGAGTATAAAATAAATGAAGAAAATAAATAAATCCCAGTACACTGGTACAAACGTACCAAACGTGCCCCTTGCAACCCTCACTAATTTATTGACTCCTAACTATATAAGAGGTCAAAGGAACATTTTCAAATTATCCGTACGATTTTGCTTGAATATTGGTATATATGTTTTTTTCCCCTAACTTTAATTTGCTCAGAAATGCAAATGAGAAGAGATTGCAAGGTTAGGGAAGTTTTCAGATGTAGTCAATAAAGTAGAAATTATGCACAATATGGACGTTTCCAAATAGCCAACACATTACATTAGCAAAATTGCAGTGCAGATTCTGTTATGCATTAGTCCATGAATAGCCTCATAAATCTGTGTCTAGAAAGAAATGCTTATTACTAACAAGCATCTCCCCAAAGACCTGTTATTTTTTAAATAAAAAAAACCCAAACTTCATTTTGTGCTTACTCAAAGATATAGGATAAGCACACACACACCCTTTCCTGAAATGAATATAACATCAGAGGTTCTCTCGGTTCTGTCTAGAGAAATATGTGATTTATTTTTTTTACATGGTTCATGCTATTTCATTAGCATGAAAAATGCTGAGTGGTGTGTTTTGACTAAATACGTTTTCATTACTTCTGTATATAAGTCATCAGTTCTGAACTGATTTTGGATATGTTTATAATGCAAATGATTTCCAACAATCCCAGAATCCCTACTGTGAAATCACACTGTACATGTGATTTTCCTCATGGAATTCTTATGCATATATCCTTGAATTTGTATATTTTCACCTTGAATTCATGTATGGGGGTTTAAAATCTTTAATAGCTGAACAACAATCACACAATCTATTGTTGGTGAAAAACTTTAAATACCCTGTGCAGTGATACTTTGGTTGTCAAACTTAATCTGTTCCGGAAGTCCGTTCCAAAACCAAAGCGTTCTAAAACCAATGTACGCTTTCCCACAGAAAGTAATGCAAAATGGATTAATCTGTTCCAGACTTTTAAAAACAACCCCTAAAACAGCAATTTAACATGAATTTAACTATCTAAACAGACCATTGATCCATAAAATGAAAGCAATAATCAATGTACTGTACTGTGAACTAAATAAAACAGTATTGTAGATGATAAAAATTAAAATTAAAATTTTTTCTTACCTGCACTGATGATAGTCATTGTTTGGATGGGGGGCTTTTATCCATTTCCGCAGTCACACAATCAACGAATCAATCAATCAATAGCTGAACTGGGATCCACACAGTCACAAAAACAAATTAACTGAAAAAGCCTCAAAGCAAAAAACGCAAAATAAAAAGCACCTCAGAACACTGCAATCGGAAACAGAAGGCTTGAATTACAATGGGGGGGGGCACAAATGAGCAGCGCAACAGGAAACACAGAGGGACTCAAAATGGAGCACGTTCGGCTTCCGGGGGGGAAAGTTCGAAAACCGGAACACCTACTTCCTGTTTTGTAGTGTTCAGGTTCCAAGTTGTTCATGAACTAAGCTGTTCGAAAACCAAGGTACCACTGTGCATGATTGATCCATCATTTTGGTATCACAGTGCCTTTAGACAAATGGACTCATGTACACAATCCTGCATATGATATATTACAATTGTTTGGGAGTCTTGGGCCATTTTTTAGTAGACCTCAATGCTGTAGCCACCCAGTAAATCCTCACTTGGCTGTCCCATCCCCATCCTTTTGGTTGGACCAATACCAGAACCAGCAACTCCTTGCATGCTGAGTATAAGTACCCAGGAGACAGACCCATTCAAGAGGGAATGAAGGAAGGTCCTTACTCAGCTTGTTTCCATATGTGTCTGTCCATTGGCAATGGAAGATACAGTGGTGCCTCGCAAGACGAAATTAATCCGTTCCGCGAGTCTCTTCGTCTTGCGGTTTCTTCGTCTTGCGAAGCATGACTATTAGCAGCTTAGCGGCTATTAGCGGCTTAGCGGCTTTAAGAAAAAGGAAACAAACTCGCAAGAACTCGCAAGACGTTTCGTCTTGCGAAGCAAGCCCATAGGGAAATTTGTCTTGCGGAACGACTCAAAAAAGGGAAAACTCTTTCGTCTTGCGCATTTTTCGTCTTGCGAGGCATTCGTCTTGCGAGGTACCACTGTATCTGATTCGTGTATATTGTACATGTCACCAAATCATGATTGATACATTTCATGTATCCAGTTTGCCAGTGTGCGTTGTTATATGGAGACATTTTTATTTTTATTTTGTCATTGTGGCTATAGTATTCATTTTATACAGCTATCGTTTTAAGTTTTATATTGTATCTATCAAATAGTTATGTACTACTTACGTTCACAGGCTACCTTGTCTCCTTTGTATTCATATATTATTGATCAGGGAACACTTACTCTTGTTTCGTTTTTTGTTTTCACTTAGTCGTAAATAATAATTTCAGGATTGGAGTTTCCAGAGAGAATTCAAGTATCTCGTTGCAAAAGTAAAATGTACGAGAGATGATGGAGCCAATGATTTCACAAGGCTGCTATTAAATATACAGTGGTACCTCGGGTTAAGTACTTAATTCATTCTGGAGGTCCATTCTTAACTTGAAACTGTTCTTAACCTGAAGCACCACTTTAGCTAATGGGACCTCCTGCTGCTGCCACGCTGCTGGAGCATGATTTCTGTTCTCATCCTGAAGCAAAGTTCTTAACCTGAAACACTATTTCTGGGTTAGCAGAGTCTGTAACCTGAAGCGTATGTAACCTGAAGCACATGTAACCCGAGGTACCACTGTAAATCTACCAAAATTATTATTATTTTCTAAAGTGGATAGTGTTAACACTTCTAAAGAAACTATCAGGATATGCCTAACATACTTGGAGGTTTAATTTCTCCCCTTACAAGTGATGTGAACTTTTTTTTAAGCAGACTTTAAAATAAGCATATTTTGCGGTAGGGGAGGTTGCACAAAGATATTTCTTTTTCTAGCTGCTATTCCGTATCTCTGTGAAGCTTTGGTTTTGAAGTTTGATTGTATGGTACTTTGTTTGAATTTCTGCTGTCTTATGTATGCGACCAAAACTGGGACAGGTGGGAGGAAACTGTTACAATGTGAAAGAGGTATTTTTGAAGCAAGAAACCTGGAGGTTTCTTTTACTAGATGAAACCAATGGTCTAATACTATATCCAAAAGTGGCAGTGGTGCCGCCAGAAAAATAAAATACATGCTGAGGAGAACACAAAAGGAACAAACTCCATTTTGGGAAAGGGCGGGAGAAACATGTGAAAAGTGCCTTCCCTATAAAGGGAGGCCCAAGTATTGGTTATTGTTGATGAGCTACCATATTTTTCGCTCCATAGGGCGCACTGTACCATAGGGCGCACCTAGTTTTGGGAGGAGGAAAACAAGAAAACATCATTCTGAATCCCAGAAGCCAGAACAGCAAGAGGGATCTGGCTTCTGGGATACCGTCTGGCTGTTCTGGCTTCTGGGATAACTGCACCAAGCCTCTTCAGGGCAGCAGGATGAAGGCTCCCCCTGCCCGAAGAGGCTGTGCAGGGCTAAGGCAGAAGCCAGGACAGGCGCGTCGCTATGCAGTTCTCCCTCTCAGAGAGGGAGAACTGCGCAGCGCCCCTTCAGCGAAGCTGGATAAGAAACAGAAGGAGACCCTTCTGTTCCTCCTCTGGCTTCCAGGATGCTGCGAAGCTGGAGGAGGAACATCGACCCCTCTCGCTCTCCAGGCTTCAGCGAAAGCAATGCGAAGCCTCCGGAGCACGGAGTGAGCGCTCCCTCTGCGCTTTGGAGGCTTCGCATTGCTATCGCTGAAGCCAAGGAGCCTGCATTCGCTTCCATAGGACGCACACACATTTCCCCTTCATTTTTGGAGCGAAAAATATAGAGTGAAAAATACGGTATTTCCATGGCGAGGCCCCAAGGCCCATCCCATTTCTTAGATAATGAAACACACAGACACCAATACTTTGGGTTAATGGGGCGAATAAGGCCACAAGTTTATTGGTTATAGATGTGAGCAGTATTCGCTTAGGTACTGGAACTGAACCAACTATATCTGACTCCTGCCCATCATGCAGGTAGTCTAGTGAGGGTCAACCACCAATAGGGGGAGCCCTGTTGATGTACATCAACTGCGAGCTCTCCCAGGGTCACCGATGGGGTCATGGCATGGCCCTAGCCCATACCCGGGCTTTTCACAAGATCCACATCCCTGGATCCCTTTAACATAGGCATGTCCAAAGTCCATTTCAGGGGCCTAATCCGGCCCACTGGTCAGTTTAATCCGGCCCCTGTGGCAGTTTATTTCCTGGGGCAAAATCCTAAAGAAACCTCAACAACTTCAATCCTAAAAGAAGCTCAACAACTTTGGGGTAGAAGGTCAACAACCTTGGTTGGTCTTTTGGTCGTCCCCCATGGCTCTTCACTTCATCACATCTGGCCCTCTTTGAAAAAAGTTTGGACACCACTGCTTTAACCCCTTAAAGAGGAGCAGCAGGTAAAAGCCACAACCTCCCCTCCCAAAACCAGGTTTTACCAATGCCTAACTGCCAAACCTTATAAAATTGTGACGATTGCTATGAGGCAGGCGAAAACCACATAGCTGGTGCCAACTTGCCAAGTGGGAAAATTCCTACCCAGCCCCCTCAACAGGTGACCAACCATGGTCCATAGCAAGGCCAAGATGGCGAACACATGAAAATAGGGTGGGAGGGCGGGAGACTGAGCCCCCAGCTGCGCGGATATTTAAACCAGGTAAGCAATGGCCCCGGTCAACCAGATTGGTCGGCCATGGGGCATGACACAGCCAGGATTCCCAACAACACGGCGGCATCGCCACGCCCCCCGCTGTACATGGAGTGTGCTCGTGGCCAGCCTGGGAGGGTGAGCGTTTTTGTCAGAGCTGCTTGCACACTTATGGCTACTCACAAGTAGCCATAAGGCATGGCATGAAAGTGGCAATCATCTTGTGTTCTTTATTCCTACCCTGTGCTGGTATTCAAGGCATACTGCCTCTCTATATTAGCAAAGCCAGCCCACCCATGTGGCAAGGTGAGGCGACTGCCTCAGGCGGCAGGATGCACAGGGGCAGCAGATTCCAATGTAGATCTTTATTCTCCATTTTTTCCTGGTGTAGATTTTGACTCAACATTCTTCCCTGGTGGGGAGGGAGGCGCCATTTTGAGGTACCTTGGGGGCCAAAATGTCTTGGGCCAGCCCTGTACATAAGACAGACTTTTCACCTGATGCAAAACAATTTAATCTCCTGTGCTCTTCGCAAAGACTTTAACTTTTCAGTTTCATATTTCCCAGACTGTTTGCTTTTTAATGTTTTCTATTAGTTTTGTATTAGCAAACTCTAATGGGATTCAATGAATTGGAGCTGGATGGAAAATAGAAGAAAATCCACTGATATATTTGTTGTACAGTACTACAGAAGAAAACAGGTTGCTTCTTTTTAAGCAGAAGGCACACTTTTCCTTTCCTTTCCTCTCTTTCTTTTTTTTTTACCATTGCAGATGTTTGCAGATCTGTGGCATGAGAATTGCTCATGGTAATGATATTCCAAAATATTCTAATCAGTGTTTATTCTGCCACGTTTTATTTTTGTTTGTGTTTGAAGGCAAGCTGGATGCAGAAATCTCTGAAATTGTAATGAAGCAGCTAGATAAAAATAAATGACCAAATGCCTATAATTTGAAAAAAATGTGATAAAATCACTGCCAGTTTATGGAAAGTTGCTTAACCGAGTCTCTGTGTTAAAGAGTTCCATTTTATTTGACAACAGAAGCACATTCTACAGTAAATTTGGAAAGGCAAGAATGGTTCGGAAATTTCACCTCGGGCCTGCTTAGATAACATTGTAAACTTTTTCATGCCTCCATCTTGACAACAGATCTTCAAAGTCGTGGAAATACCATGACAACTGTCAAACTGGAGGCAGAGTTGTACTTTTTCACGGTAATCCACACCCAATATAACATTCCGCCATTTAAGTTTCTGTTGTAATTTGCTGCCCCAAAACAACAAGCAAGGAACCTTTTTGCTTTTCTTCTTTCTGCTTACCCACGCAATGCAGTTAATTGGTTGTTTCTCGCTTCCCCACAAAACACTCCTTAAGGGGACGCTTACAAGAATGCATTTGAAATAATATGTTAGTGTTTGTATTTAATTCTGGATTAATTAAATTGACATGGTCCCCAAAGTATAGTGTTGTGGCTTTAAAAATACAGCTACACGCTATAAATTCCTTTGAGGGTCGTGGAAAGCTCCACCCATTGTGTGTGGAATATGTGTTCTCAGATTTGCCAACTGTCTATTATTTTGCTGGTTCAATTAATAAAATCTTGTTATGGCAGGTAATAGAAAGCCAAGGAGCAATGGAGCCAGCTTGATAGAGCTCCCCCTTTCCCTGATATTGACTCAGTCTGTATTTTTATGGTCCAACAAACTTCATTCTAGTTCAACACTTGACCTAAAAAGTTTTGTCTTGCCTTTATCTCAGATTCAGAATTACCACCACCCACAAAGTCCTCTCTTTCTCCACTTCTGTAATGCTATCCTGACACCTATCACTACGTAAACAATATTCTGGCTAGAATATTTGAATGGGAAAGGTACATATTCTATGTATCCATGTATGTGTACATAACCGTGATGTTCTGAATATCCCTTTCCATTTATTATGCAATATAATTTTAATTGCTGAGGTGTTCGCCGCACAGGCCCAAAAGGAAACAAACCCATTCACTGGTTCTAGATTCAGGTAGGTATGTTGGCTATGTTGGTCTGATGCAGTCGATACACACACACACACACACACACACACACACACCCCGTATATATTTATTTGCCCAGTAGCACTTAGTTGGTCTCTAAGGTGCTACTGGACAATATTTTTTTTTATTTTTTCATCCATTCTGACCTTTAAAGCCCTAAACGGCCTCGGTCCAGTATATGTGAAGGAGCGTCTCCACCCCCATCGTTCTGCCCGGACACTGAGGTCCAGCTCCGAGGGCCTTCTGGCAGTTCCCTCACTGCGAGAGGCCAAGTTACAGGGAACCAGGCAGAGGGCCTTCTCGGTAGTGGTGCCCGCCCTGTGGAACGCCCTCCCACCAGATGTCAAAGTGATAAACAACTACCTGACATTCAGAAGACATCTGAAGGCAGCCCTGTTCAGGGAAGTTTTTAATATGTGACATTTTAGTGTATTTTTCATCTTTGTTGGAAGCCGCCCAGAGTGGCTGGGGAAACCCAGCCAGATGGGCGGGGTACAAATAATAAATTATTATTATTATTATTATTATTATTATTATTATTATTATTCACTGGTGTCAAACCTATTCACTTTCTGTTTCTGGACGCACTTTAATCTGGTAATGAAATAGTTTTAGTCTGTTTTTCCTCCATCTTATAGAAAAAATGGTTTGCTCACATACAAGATTTTACAGTTGCATCACAGGTGAACCTCTGACATGGAAAATGGAAATAAAAACAAGTGAAATATTAAACTGCAGTGGATTCTGCTTTAGGAAGCCAAACTACACATGATGTGGGAGATCTGTGAAGATTTCCCATGTGCATAATTTTCTGGGGAGGGGAAGTCCAATTTGGATTATATCTGCAGCCTTTGAAGAGAGAGCCAGTTGTTTCCCTCTTCTCATGTTGTTTTCCCAAAATTGCCAGTTCAACTAAACATAAATTAAGTTTATTTTGGACTTTTTGGTGTAGGAGTTTTCTAGTTCATATGCAAATTCATTTTCTTACACGTGTTTTTAGCCTGTAGATGATTTTGGCATTTAAGCTTAAAGTTGGGAAAAATAAGCAATTCACATTCCTCTGCTTTGATAATTTAGCATAGTAGGTTGCAATATTCCAAGTGCTGTGTGTGTGTGTGTGTGTGTGTGTGTGTGTTTCTGTTTGTTTTTGTTTGCTTGCTTTTGCCAAAGATTATTTGAATGATCTAGAACTGTGAAGTAAGCATGAACTGAACCAGTTCATTTAACAGAGGGACAAATGTGAACTTGAATGAGTTCCTTTTGGGACATGTTTTGTACTAGAACTTTTTTTCTTTTTTTCTTTTTTTAAATGAACTTTCCAAGGTCTGCTTGACTATTTGTACTGATACAGATTGTGGTATTTTAGAAACAGTAACTTTACAAGGTGATCAGTTATTGAACAATTTCGTCAATGCAGTAGACACTAGGAAAGTGTGACAGCATAGTGTATAGTAAGTCTCCTGTGTTGAGTGGAGCCATAATGTTTTTTGTGTCCAAGTGAAGAAAAATGCCATCCTCTATTTACATATGTTTTCCTCTCTACTACCTGTTTACTTCAAGGGATGCGGGTGGCGCTGTGGGTTAAACCACCGAGCCTAGGGCTTGCCGATCAGAAGGTCGGCGGTTCAAATCCCTGTGACGGGGTGAGCTCCCGTGGCTCGGTCCCCGCTCCTGCCAACCTAGCAGTTCGAAAGCACGAAGTACAAGTAGATAAATAGGTACCGCTTCGGCAGGAAGGTAAACGGCGTTTTTGTGTGCTGCTCTGGTTTGCCAGAAGTGGCTTAGTCATGCTGGCCACAAGACCCGGAAGCTGTACGCCGGCTCCCTTGGCCAGTAAAGCGAGATGAGCGCCGCAACCCCAGAGTCGTACGTGACTGGACCTAATAGTCAGGGGTCCCTTTACCCTTTACCTATTTATTTCAGTCCCTCTGGTGTGTGTTAAACTGTTGCTTGGATAAAGCATGCAGTCACTCAAGACTGACATAGGAACTGTTCTGATTTTTGTCCAAGAATACACAAAAACAAGGCAACAGGGAGTTAAAGAGAAGTGAAAAATGGCAGACTCTATGCATCCCTTTCCAATTGCAGAGCATTCTCTGCTGTGGCACTCCAGAACTACCTCTCCATAGAGAGCTTGTTTTTCCCCTACACTACCTAGTTTTTGGTGTCTGCTCCAGACACATTTATTTCCCCAGGCTTACGGATTTGCCTGGTGTTGGATTTTCTGGTGGTGGATTTCATGTACTGTCTAATTCTAGTTCATTATTTTTCTTGATACATTGTTTTAACATTCCATCTCCTGAAAGCAAATGTTCAAGAAGCAAAGTGGCAGCAACCATCTTGCCAGAAGGCCACATGTTTGCTCGTTCACACCAAACCATGCTCAACATTGCATGCAAACCAGGCCACAGTGTGTGCTAAGCTCTAGTTTGCATATTTGCACCCCATTTTTCTATGCATCTGGCAGACAGTTGGTCAGTTCTCTAGGGAATTAAAACCATTCAAGTACTGGTGTTCAATGGGTGTTATCATTTTGTTACTTCAGTCTATAAGAAATTGACGGTTTTTAATCTCTGTCTTCTTTGTAGTCCAGCTGCTGGCATGTGAGTTTGCCGCACAGACAGACTGATCAATCGCCATATGCAAACAGCAGTTGCTTGTTAAGCCCCCACTGGGGTTTTTATTGTTCTACCATTTGTGTAGATCTTCCCACAGGATTTTTAAGAGCCTCCCCATCCCAGTTTTGATCTTTTACTTTCAAGGGAAACTGAGTCTACAATCTTGTCATGAAGCAGAATCAGATATCAGATTTGGAGGAAGGAGTGTTGAAAAGTTGACCTACTGCTTACAGGGAAATTTGTTCCCAAGGTTATGCTATCTAAGACAACCATCCCACACTGCTTATTATCCTAAAATAATACTTGCCTAAGAAGACAGCAGTGTAGCTCCCTTCCTTGCCATATCTCTCGCATGAGGTCTCCAAAATGTTGTTTTCCCCAGAAGATAAATAGTACCACTGTCTTTAAGCAATTATGCATTCATGTGTATAAATAAGGAACAAGGAAATAATAAGCTGTCTGCTAAATAGAAATCTTCAGTCATGGGCTCCTGCAAGCCATGGCTCTAAATCACAGACTTGTGCATTACCAAAAGGTTTCTGCTTCAGATATTTCTAGTGTAACATTAAGTTGCCATGACAGCTGCCTTTTGTTACTGTTTTCTCGGCGTTGTTTTAATTAACTCATTCTGCTAGAACAGCAGAAAAGGTAGCTAGCTAATGATGGTGTCTTCTCATCTAAGAAGAGCAGGTGACATAATGGATGTCCAGATGAGGTTTTTGGATTACTTCTTTATGTGGCTGTTAAATTGTCTCTAGTTCTCAAATTCAAAATCCAAATACAATGAAGCAAGTGTTTGTGCAGGTATTTTTACTCCCTGATCTGATGTTTACCTAACTTTAACATGACAGCTATTATCCTATCCGAAATTATAGATTGCAGATATTAATGTATTTGAAGAACAGAATCCTGCCTTTTTTTGAAGGGAAACAGTCATCATAATGATATTTAATTAACTATAAAATAGATGCAGATTCATCTACCAGCAGTTTGCTAGGCAACAGGAGGGAAGGTCAAATCCTTATTCCATAAATATCCATGCCTGTATAGTATAGTGTCAACCCAGGTTGAGCACGTTAATAAGTAAACTAGTCATCTACGGAAATATTGATTGATTAATCTGGAGGGGGTATTTATTCAGTAAGGTAAAGGTAAAGGGACCGCTGACCATTAAGTCCAGTCGCGAACGACTCTGGGGTTGTGGAGCTCATCTCGCTTTACTGGCCGAGGGAGCTGGTGTTTGTCCGCAGACAGTTTTTGTGGGTCATGTGGCCAGCATGAATAAGCCACTTCTGGTGAACCAGAATAGTGCACAGAAACGCCATTTACCTTCCCGCCGGAGCGGTACCTATTTATCTGCTTGACTTTGACGTGCTTTCAAACTGCTAGGTTGGCAGGAGAAGGGACAGAACAACGGGAGCTCACCCTGTCATGGGGATTCGAACTGCCAACCTTCTGATCGGCAAGCCCTAGGCTCTGTTGTTTAGACCACAGTGCCACCCACGTCCCATTTATTCAGTAGGCCTTCATAAAATATCTCTTGCCTGTTTTTCAAGTTGTTTTAGTTCTGATTTGACACCATACAAAAGAATAAATACTAAAATATTTCAGATGATATTTCCTGCGAACAATTTATTCAACAATATACTTCCGCCCTGCATTTTAATAGAAGTCTTCACAAGGTGCTTATGAAAACTATGAAGTTGTATACTTTTTACCAGGAAAATGTTAAAAACAGACCACTTTGACAAGGATCAGATTAAAAATGTAAGTAACTAAGAATATCCCAGCCAGATCAGGCCAAAAGTCAGTCCCATCCAGCAGTTCTCACAGTGGCCAACCAAAAAATTGCCCATGGGAAACCCACAAGAAGGACTTGAATGCAATTGAACCCTCCTGCTCATGACCTCAGCAGCTGCTATTCAGAGGAATACTGTCATTGATACTGGAGGTAATACTCTGTCATCATAACTAGTAGCCATTACTAACCTCCTTCATTAATTTGTCTAATCGTCTTTTAAAGCCATTCAGGTGGGTGACCATACTATGTCTTGTAGCAAATTCCCTAGTTTTACTTGAGCATATTTAGGGGGGCACAGATCAATAAAAAGCTTGACAGAATGAAAAAGGTCACAGAGAGGCGGAAAGGGAATTCTCAGGGGAGGAGATTTCCACCAGTGTGGGACCAACATTGAAAAACCCTGTCTTGGGTACCATGGTTGGCCAAATACACTTTGGCTCCTGAGGTGAGCCACAAAATGGCGCTCCACACCACCAGCTGAGTGGAGATCTACCTCAGGAACAAGAGAAGAATAAAGATCTACATCAGGAACAAAGGGGTTAATCAAATAAAGCTTACCTGGAGTGTGTTGAAGTAGGAATCAAAGGCTATTGTTCTGTTTTGAATCACACCAGGCAAATGTAGAGCCCAGGAGACCCCAGAGGGCAGACCCTTCCATTTCCTCACTACCGATAGGAAGAGACCAGCAGCGCCTCCTATTTGTCAAGACTCAAGAAGCTACTGTTGAGGAGACAGCAGATCCAGCCTCCCAAGGGATGATGATGCTTTCTTTGGAGGCTGGATCTGCTGTCCCTGTGGGTACTGCCGCCTGAGGCAGTTGCCTCACCTTGCCTCAGGGGTGGACTGGCCCTGCCTGGAAGCAGCCTACTGGATTGACTTTAGTGGCGGACTAGAAAGCAGGGCAGGTTCATAATGGTTTAAGTCAGCATGGGGAACCCAAATGTTGCTGGACATCACACCTGGTAATGGGGTCTTCACTTTGCTGGTGCTAAGCAGATCTGGGTCTGGTCAGTGCCTGGATGTTTGACTGTGTGGGAGCCACATGTACACCTGCTTAAATTCCATGATAGAAAAAAAGGCAGAATATAAATGGAAATAAAAGGAAATAAGCATTTAGAGCACGTCGATATAGCCATCCGTTGTTTAAATTATCCTTCAGATAACTTAAACACAAACATTTAGAGTTTTAAAGGTTACTGCTAGCACTTTAAATTTGAGTTGACAATGACTGACAGCTTCTGTTCTTTAAATTACCATTTGTGTTGCACAATACAGTAGCCTGATTTGTAAAATTAGTAGCTTGATTTGTAAAATTAGCAGATTTCATTATGTGATTGCTACTCTTGAGCTTCAGTTTACTTGCTTATATCGCAGCTATACATTTAAACTCACACCTACACCAGCACTGACTTCTGGCATCGAATGAAGCTACCAATTACACAGTTTAATGTTAATAATGTTTACTTTTCCCATTCAGATCAATTGGTCCAGATTCAAACTTTGGGGCTTCAAAGGGCATTGTGGGAGTGGAGGAAGCTGTGGAAGGGGTATGTTGAAGGCATTGTGAAAAGATGGCTGGGGCTGTAGAGAAGCTGGGTGGGAAGATCTGAGGTTTGGAAGGAGCTGTGGTATGTGTTTGGAGCTATGGGGTGGAAGGAGCTATGGGGTTTGGGGGGTGAGCTGTAAAGGGTGGCAAGTGGAGCCCCTAGTTTTACATGTTAATCCAAATCATTCCAGCGATGAGAAGAGTTCTAAAGTTCCACCAGGGCTAAAAGTCATTATAAAAAAATAAAATAATCTAGAAAATATTGCATAGAGGAATTGCATCCTGACTCATTCTGTGACCTTGTACAAGATAATTTTCTCTCACAATTTCTTGTTCATAAAAGAGAATAACAGTGGACACTATTGACTTCTCCTGCACTTGAAGGCAGGCTCTGGCAGATTGAGCAAGACCAATAGTGAGTCCAGTGGTCAAGAAGGTGGTTTCTGCAAGTGCTGTAGAGGGAAGTGAGGGGTAGTTGAGGCTTGTCAACTGGGAAGGTAGCTTATCTAGGACAAGGAAAGCACTGCTTTCCTTTAGAACACACCTGCAAGTCTGAGAAGAGGGTCTTGTCACCTGGGCAGCCCAGGACCTCCATACACAGAGCCCAGGGAGGTCACTTCGGTGCTGCTAACACAGTGGTTTGCCTTCACCCCCGGAGGCGCACTCCATTGTCTCTCAAGACAGATGGGTGCCAACAGCATCACTATTGGGCAGTTGAAACTGTTTATGTGGAATACAGCCATACCTTGGAAGTCGAACAGAATCCGTTCCGGAAGTCTTTTCAGCTTCCAAAACATTTGAAAACCCAAATGCGGCTTCTGATTGGCTGCAGGAAGTTCCTGCAGCCAATCGGAAGCCGCAGAAGCCCCGTCGGACGTTCGGGTTCCAAAGAACATTCACCAACCGGAACAGTCACTTCTGGGTCTGTGGTGTACAGGAGCTAAAAGGTCCGAGTTCCAGGGCTTTCGGGATCCAAGGTATGGCTGTATTTCTTCTCCATCCTTCAGTAAAAACTGTGTAACAAAATGATTAAAAACAAGAAATACAAGAAAATCATAATGATTTCAGATAGGGATGCCTCTGCCAGTCACTGCCAACAATCCTGATGAACCACTGGTCTGAATCACCATGTTGCCTTCCTTGATCTTGCAGTTAATCTGCGTTTGACTGCATACTATTGAATCAAATCGTCTAACACAGTGGTTCCCAATTAGCTAAGCCAGGCTTCCTCAACCTCGGCCCTCCAGATGTTTTGAGACTACAATTCCCATCATCCCTGACCACTGGTCTTGCTAGCTAGGGATCATGGGAGTTGTAGGCCAAAAACATCTGGAGGGCCAAGGTTGAGGAAGCCTGAGCTAAGCACTATGGACCTCCCCCCCCCCCAACTTGTTTTTCAAAAGCCAAGCCATGGACCCCCTACTTTTGAAATTTTTGATATCTTTATGGTAGTTTTTTGTTATATGAATGGTGCCATGGGCCCCCCAGGAGCGTTATGCACAGTCCCTGGAGTCCATAGACCACCAGTTGGGAACCACTGAATTGACCAGCAGATTTCAGTGAAGAGCACTGGCAACACAATATGTCGTCAGTAAACTGACTTACTTCTTCAATAGGAGTCTTGTGGAATACATAAACACTATTATTTATTCCTTTGGGCAGAAAATAGGCCGTACATGAATGCAAGCGCGGTATCTGTTAATTGGTCCTATATTTCAATAAATTGTATGTGTTGGATAATTGAGCAGTATGAAAATGATGTGTTTACTTTTTGGTCTAAAATGAAAACCAAAAATTGGATAGACCAAATTCACATTGTTTCTGACAGCAATCAGCAATAATGCAGTCCTACAAGAACATTGCCATTACCCTCCCAATGGCTATTTACAGTAATTGCACAACATTACTCTCAATTCTCCTTAAAGCAGTATTTCAGAGGACTGTTTTAAATACGTAAATGGTAAATAATTGAAATAAACGAGGACTTTGCATAACTGCTTATTCACCAGTAGGCTTAAGAAGAAAAGCTTCTGGAGAAAGCCGTGCCCATATATGGTACTTAGCTCTCTAAATGAAGAGGGATGATCTTTTGCAGGAAAGTAAATCTTGTTTGAAGTTATAATCAGCACTGTACTATTCGTACATACCCCAGCTTGCATACAGCAATATACGGATTAATGGATTCAAAATATGAATCAATGGAGTCTATTGATATACTGTCAATATGTATATTGATATATCTATATACATATAGATATACTGTTTTCAGTGGTGGAAATAAACATAACCTGCTTGAGTGTCTCAGAAATGGCAGGTGTGTTCTTGTTTAGATTAAATATCTGGTTGGTACCATTGGGACGTGGGTGGCGCTGTGGTTTTAACAATGAGTCTATAGGTGACTGTGGAGGCCAATTCTGGATCCACACGTCCTTCCACAGTGAGGACATTGGTTTCCGGGTGGGAGTTGATCACGGTGTGGGTTTGCCAAGCGTGCCTTCCTCTTAGCACGTTTCTCCCTTGCGTCCTGAGTTCGAGTGTCTTCAAAGCTCACGACCCCTTTGGTAAAGGCTGTTCTCCAACTGGAGCTCTCGCAGGCCAGTGTTTCCCAGTTGTCAGTGTTTATACTACATTTTTTAAGATTTGCCTTGAGACAGTCTTTAAACCTCTTTTGTTGACCACCAGCATTACGCTTTCCATTTTTAAGTTCGGAATAGAGTAGTTGCTTCGGAAGACGATCATCAGGCACAACATGACCAGTCCAACCAAGTTGATGTTGAAGAATCATTGCTTCAACACTGGAGATCTTTGCTTCTTCCAGTACACTGGTATTAGTTCACCTGTCTTCCCAAGTGTCTTAATGATGTAGTAGTAGCAGCAGCAGTAGTAGTAAACCACTGGGCCCTATCTGGACCACCAAGCTAGGTAGTTAAGCTTGTTTGGTTCAGCCTTGCAGACAGATAAAAGAAAAGGCATAGCTCCTTTTGTCTGTGTGCATGTAGCAAGCATTTTGCAATGATCAGGATTAAGAAAAATGGATGCAAAGAAAATGGATCAAAACCAGGCTATTTGGATCCATATATATTTGACAGTGTATCTCAGTACACATCAACAGTCTCAGTCTTTGCACCACACATCATTTTTCTCAAAAGTCGTATCGTGGGTTCTTCACAGGGTCAGACACTCAACAGTGTTCCTCTGAGAGTAAGACACAGCCTTGTACACTATATTTATATCTGCTTCAAAATGACAGTATGTGCATTTTAATGTAATCTTGGTACACCCTGTTCACTTTATGTGTCTTTGCAAGTAATACAAATTAAATTTCGAATGCAAGAAAGGTCCTTGACATTTACTACTGAAACAATGCTTTGATGAGGGGAGGGGGTGGAATCTGCAGCACACCACTTCTCCTCAGATCAAAATGGACTGTTATGACCCTCTTTACAGAAAAAAGCACCGGATTTACTTTCACACTTCTATTGTGGATCAATATTCTGATATTCAGCCCACACCTTTGCCACCAACAAAATGGCATAAACTAGCAGCAAGGATAGCGGAGGAAATACGTCTTCTTGCAGCGCTGTAAAATTGTGCCGCCTTTGGTCTGATAATTATTCTTATTGGCAATATATTCTCAACTCTCACCACTTATAGTAAAGGTAAAGGGACCCCTGACCATTAGGTCCAGTCGTGACCGACTCTGGGGTTGCGGCGCTAATCTCGCTTTATTAGCTGAGGGAGCCGGCGTACAGCTTCCGGGTCATGTGGCCAGCATGACTCAGCCGCTTCTGGTGAACCAGAGGAGCACACGGATATGCCGTTTACCTTCCTGCTGGAGCGGTACCTATTTATCTCCTTGCACTTTGATGTGCTTTCAAACTGCTAGGTTGGCAGGAGCAGAGACCGAGCAACGGGAGCTCACCCCGTCGTGGGGATTCGAACTGCCGACCTTCTGATCGGCAAGTCCTAGGCTTTGTGGTTTAACCCACAGCACCACCCACATCCCATTGAGCCAACCCAAATTATGAGCCAACCCAAATTATGCTACTCTGCCTTACGTATATGTGAAAGAGATACCTGTTGCTTCTGGCATTTGCCTGTCTTCAGGGGCAAAGGAAAGCGTTGTGACACTCAGGGCGGGCGTCGCTACATAGGGCGCATGTGCGGCATCGCTACGTACGATGCATGCGCCGTACGTGGCAACACCGCACATGCGCTGTATAGCGGTTTGCAGCCAGCGCCAATCCAGCGCTGTACGGACGGTTCCGGGATCCTCTGCTTGCAGCTGCAGCCACGAATGGATGATCCTCCATTCACGGCTGTAGCGGCGATGGAGGGATCCCAGCACCGTCCGTACAGCGCTGGAGCGGTGCCAGCGACAAACCACTATACAGTGCATGTGCGGCATTGCTACATACAGCGCATGCTGTGCATACAGCAGTTTGCCACCGATGCCCCAATCCTCTGCTTGTGGCTGCAGCTGCGAACGGAGGATCCTGCACATGCAGCTGCGCCAGCACGATGGCTGCTTGCACTGCCGCGAGCCCCCGCGGGGTGACTTCTTGTCACCCCGCAGACATGGAACCCGGGGCATACTGCCTCCCACCCCCACCCCCCATTGCGACACCACTGCCTGTCTTGGGAGACATTGGATGAGTACACCTTCAGGGATAAAGTCAAACTGTTGGAGAGTTACAGTGTCTGCTGTGGCTGTAGAGATACAAACGGCATCCTTTTGAGTGCAAGAGATGCCCCGCCCCGGTAGTAGAATAAGTTGCACCCAAGATGGACTACCACAGTGCACTCTACTTGGGGCTGCCCTTGAAGATTTTTGGAAGAAGAAGGAGAGTTTGGATTTGACATCCCGCTTTATCGCTACCCTAAGGAGTCTCAAAGCAGCTAACATTCTCCTTTCCCTTCCTTCCCTGCAACAAACACTCTGTGAGGTGAGTGGGGCTGAGAGACTTCAGAGAAGTGTGACTAGCCCAAGGTCACCCAGCAGCTGCATGTGGAGGAGCGGGGAAGCGAACCCAGTTCACCTTATTACGAGTCTTAATCACTACACCACACTGGAGTTTGAGATACTAGGGAGATTTGCATTGGAATCCCTGCTCAGTCACAAAACGCGATGGGTGGTCTTAGGCAAGTCACCAATTTCTCAGTCTATCCTGCATCTCAGGGATATTTTGCAAGCATAAAACGAGTGCCAAGCTTCTTGGAACAGATAGGATATGAAAACAATACACACAGTTTGTTTGGTAAGCCTATTCTGCTCCCTCTAGCTGGGCAGCACTGTGCTCACAAGCACCACTTGTGGCCACCCAGGTGAGGTACAGCAATGCCAGTCACATGCATCTGTGTCTAATCGACCTTTTAGCATGGCAGCACCATAACTTCTCTAGCTCTTGTGTCTCAAAAGGACCAATAGGCTAAAGGAAGATGCAGGTAATGGCAACTCCAGAAAAACCAAGGGTCAGAACAGATCGTGGGAAAAGAAGGAGCAATTCAAATGAAGTGAGGGAGAAGGAGGAAAGAGCGGTTTACTCAAAGCTATCTTCCCAATCCTACTTCTTTGTAGAAGGGTGCTAGTTTTATTAATTACTTGTTTCCATCATTTTTAGCATCCAAGGACATCTGAAATTGTAATTCTATCTAAACCGACCCACAGTTTCCCTTTTCCTATTCCATGCTTCTAAGTAAGTGGTTGGAGGGGTGAAAAAATACACCACCTACTTTTTATAACCTTGATTGCAATGCACTACCCCTCAAGAAAGAATCATGGTGAAATATACTCAGAGTCGCAAAGTGATTTCATGCTCTTTATTCAGCTCATAGTGGTGAGGAGGAATGAATGAAAGTCCCCTCAAAGTATCTGCTTTATATACATTATTTATACAATGGGCTGCACATGATTGGCTAATTCCGGAATTCTACTGTAAGCCAATCAGGTTGTGGATTCACTTCTATCTGGAGCATGATTGGGTGGTTCCTGCCAACCAATCATACTGCTGCATTATTCTAGGACCAATCAGACTGCTGCATTCTGAATCCTATTGTTCTAGGACCAATCAGACTGCTGCATTCTGAATCCTATTGTTCTAGGACCAATCAGACTGCTGCATTTTGGATCCTATTGTTCTAGGACCAATCAGACTGCTGCAGTTTGGATCCTATTCAACTCAGTACATAACACATGGGAATGTTAAGATCTCTTAAAGGGTCTTCAGATATCTTGTAAACAGTCTGTGTGGTTAGAGGTGCCAGGGATCAAAGGTGCATGCATATATTTCTATGAGACACCTTCCAGAATATAATAGTCAGCGCAAAGTCAAAGAAGAGAGGTGAAAAACCAATGAGGCATTATATGACAGTAGCCTCACATTTTTAAAAATAGCAGGGTCCCTACAAACAGACCAGTAAGTGGTGTTTCATGGACTGGAGTCATATAGGCATCAGCAAATATATATGATGGGAAATCAGTCTGATTATTTTAGAAATACGGGCTGCATCAACCTTTAATAAGTCATGTTTTGAAACATTTTAGGGATTGCCTAGCTATGTATGGAAACAGAATGGTTTTCTTTTCTTTGGGTTATGCCTGACTGACTGACTTAAATACCGAACCAGCTGCATGTGAACATGAGTAATTCTAAAGCTTGCAGCAGAGGGATGTAAAGTGGAAAACACGTGTCAGCTCTTCTTGCAAAATCTGTAAATTATAGCAACAATAAAACGATTTCTTAAGCATATTTTCCAGCTTAGTATTCACCACTGTTTTATTTGATGTGGCACTTCAAAATGCTCTTTCATTTCTGGATTAAAATAATAGGATAACAGCAGCTTTTGGCTACCTGACAAAATTTTTAAATGTGCAACAGCCCGATTGATTGTCGCACTTGCCCATTTCTTTAATTCCAGGAAGAGTCAAGTCTTCCTTTTTCTTATGTTACAAGGATTTCCCCATCTCAACTAAATACTCTGTTTGCTACTCTGAAGTAGTTGTAGCTCTGGTGCTGGTAATGTCAGCTTATTTAAATCAGTCTGCTCTCAAGAGTTGTATAACTGGGAGCCTTTAATACTGCAGTACCAGGGAAGTACCAGTACTGGCTGGTACTACAACATCCCTGGGATCCACATAAGCAGGTCTGAACTTTGCTTTGCAGAGGAGGAGTGGGGTGGGGGGGGTCAAATAGTGTCTTGTGGTCATGCATTAAATGTCCTCATTTGTTAATACTTTTTTTTCCTGAACATATGTAATATCTGCATTCATCAAGCAGAGCAGAGAGAACAAAAAAATTCAGGAGTGAAGTCCTTTCCCCCCCAAAAAGCATAAACTACAATTAACAATGACAGCATGTAATAATTCATTATATATCTTTAGCAAGAAAATAATATCTTTAGCAAGAAAATAAGAAGGGAGAATAGAATGAAGTCATTTCAGAAAATAAACTGTGAACGAAAGCCAAGCTGTCCAAGCCTTGAAAACAAAAACAAAGAACAGTCTTTGAAATTCTATGGTGCAAGACCTCTGCAAGCTATTTCAGATTTTAGATCCAATGTTCGGCATGATCTCCTGCAATCTGAATATTTTATTAAGTGTGATCACCTTTGACACAAAAATCCACTTTGATCCTTCCAAACATTCACTTAGGTACTGACAGAAAGCTTTTTGAATATTAACTTGGTTGTAGACCATTTGTTCAGCACTGATAGCGGCAGTAGAACATCTTAAAACTGATCTATAGCTGGGGCCCAAGGATCTAATTGCTGGTGTAGAGGTGGTGTAGGACCTCGATGAACAATCACTGGATTCCATAGCTGATCTACACATTTCAATTACATTTAATTAACAAGCTACCAATTCCTGTAGCTCACAGTGTTGCACCTCTCAGTGCTCCTTCCAACATTCAGAATTGCCAACAAAGAATACTTGCAATACCAATATGCATTTTCTCTTCTCTTCCTATTGGTTCAAATGGTCCAGGAACCCATACAGGATATCAGTCTCTGACAATCTTTGAAAATTCCAGTATGCAGAAGCACAGTCCTAGAGAGAAAATTTGAGTGGGCATAATTATTTCCTAACCTTTATTAGGTTATTCTATTTAAGCCCTGCAGTTCAAAGTTTCAAGTAAGTGCCCTACAAAATAATAACCCACATTCTCAAAGCAACACAACTATTGGCACAAGGTGACTCCATACGTTTTGTAAGATTACTCCTAAATGGAAATTAATTTACTAAGTAGAAACTCTTAGGAAGGTTAGTTGAAGGGAAAGCGATTAAAAACAGAGAAATGTGTCAACATGGCGCCTAAAAAAATGAAGATCCTTTTCTCTGAACATGAACGACTTTACAAATCTGAGAAATTTTCTTACTCCAATTACCGATATATATATATATTAAATTGTAATGAATGTATGGAGATTATTGTCCTGTTAAACCATGGGTAAGTGTTTACAGAGATAAACTAAAGCAAGCCTTGTCCTTACATGTCCCCCTCCAACTCCTGCCCCTTCTCAGCCAGAAGCACCTTGTGTTGAATGCTAAACTTTCCCAAACCATAAAGGTAAAGGTAAAGGGACCCCTGACCATTAGGTCCAGTCCTGACCGACTCTGGGGTTGCAGCGCTCATCTTGCTTTATTGGCCGAGGGAGCCGGCGTTTGTCCGCAGACAGCTTCCAGGTCATGTGGCCAGCATGACTCTGGCGAACCAGAGCAGCGCACGGAAATGCCGTTTACCTTCCTGCCGGAGCGGTACCTATTTATCTACTTGCACTTTGATGTGCTTTCAAACTGCTAGGTTGGCAGGAGCTGGGATCGAGCAACGGGAGCTCACCCCGTTGCGGGGATTCAAACCGCCGACCTTCTGATCGGCAAGCCCTAGGCTCTGTGGTTTAACCCACAGTGCCACCCACATCCCTTTACCAAACCATAATTTGTATCAAATAGGTTAGTGGAAACAAACTTGCTTCAAACCATGGCTATGAGCAGAGAGCTTGTTTTTGCTAACCATGGTTAAGACTGACAGTAGTTTAGGGTTTGGGCCTGATGCTAAACAGTGGTAAATTTAAAACAAATGTGAAAGCTTCTGATCTGCTCTGACTACACGAGAAAAAGTGAGAGGTTGGGAAGAGTCAGGAAGGAAAGCCAGAGGCAACCATTTTCCCAGGACAGGTTTATTCACCTTTAGGCCTTTTCTGTACATCCTTGTTTATCCTGCTTCAAGTTGTCCATGATTTGAAATTTCTGCTTCTTTCCCAAAAAGTTTGTGCATATTAGTGCAATTAAATTTTTAATGTAACTCAACTGCATTACATTAGGTTTGTTTGTGGAACAAACTCTCCCGTAGACAATTAAAACAATATAGATAGTTGCTGCATTTGCAGAGTATAGACAAAAGCTCTTTTCTATCCTCTGCAGTTACACAGCTAGCACAGGGAATTTATTTAGCTAACCAAGCGCAACTCCAGAGCTGTGCTGACATAGGGATCTATGCAGGTGCAAAAACAAGAGGATATATATATATAAGCAACAATAATGTCCAGCATCATTAGAAACAGACTCCAATGAAAACTAAATGCTTGCCAAATGGAAAAACAAATGCATTTTAAAGCATCTGATAAATTATTGCAGGCAGGGAGGAAAATAAAACTATTAAAATGTAATTCGGAATGTAATTAAAATGTACATTGTTGCAGACTACCAGTGCTAAATTGAGTAATTTAACTAAGGAAGCAAGTAAAGATGATGGATTTTTTTGTGGCATTCTCTCTTCAGTCTAAACATTAAGAAGTTCTTCTCTCAGTTACATTGATGTAATTGGAATACATATATTTAGCTAGCATTCCACAGGCAAAAAGCAACAATACCATGAAGCCAACCCACACCATATTAATTGGTTTAAGATGCCTCATTATTTTCACATAAAGTATATTTTGGCATGCTTTTAGAAAACAATCTAGGGTAATCTCTTTACATCTTGCTCTGAAAAGCTGGTGGTTGCTAGATCAAGTTCTCCAATAATATTAATATATAAAACAGGGCCTCTCAGCCATATTAACTCTTGCAATGTCAGGGGAAATACTCTCTTTAACACCTCTCTTATTGCCATTACTCTGACCTCAATAATGTGACCCATTTGATTCACTGGCCCACTTCAGGCAAAGATAACTCATTTTTTAAAAGCCAAGAGGAGGTAAGGTAAAGGTAAAGGACCCCATGGCAGTTAAGTCCAGTCAAAATTGACTATGGGGTTGTGGCGCTCATCTCGCTTCAGGCCGAGGGAGCCGGCATTTGTCCTTCAGACAACTTCCGGGTCATGTGGCCAGCATGACTAAACTGCTTCTGGTGCAACAGGACACTGTGACAAGTGCCAGAGTGCGTGGAAACACCATTTACCTTCCCGCCACACTGGTACCTATTTATCTACTTGCGCTGGTGTGCTTTCGAACTGCTAGGTTGGCAGAAGCTGGGACAGAGCAATGGGGGCTCACCCCGTCATGGGAATTCGAACCACCGACCTTCCGATCAGCAAGCCCAAGAGGCTCATTGGTTTAGACCACAACGCCACCTGCTCCCATCCTTTTGCTCCTCCCTCCACAGCCTAATTAACTCTAGTTCCTTCTTTCATCAGAAAGACTAGTTCCAAAGCTGGTAACAATGGTTTTCTGGTAAGACTTTGGTTTGTTAGGGACGTCATGAATTAATCATGGCTCATGTGAACAGAGCTGTATCCTGTTCCTTTGCTCCGACAAAATGATCATTTGTATATTGGCTCGTTGAGATATTATAATCTAAAGCGAGCCACAGAGAGCCATTGCAAAGGTAAATGAATGTGTACATGAAACCACCATAAATTGATCACCACAGCGCATTTCCATCAGCAGTCCATTAAATCATAACTACATTTACAAGACCGTTTGTGGTTATTTTTAAAACATTTGCTCATTATGAACATCAAGGATACTTTAAAAATATAGCAATAACTATCTTTGAAGTCATGTTCATTCAGGGAGTGAGAAAGTATTTTGGCACAGTTCCCAGAGCACTGCAGAGTTAGTTGGTGTGTAAGACATTGTCCCATGGGAAGAAATTGTAAGGCTGAATCACTGTGTTTTAATTCTTAGCAATTGTTCTTGCATGGTCAAGGGGACATATGGCAGTAGTGCTCCTATTTATTACTTACTGCTACAGCCATTGGCAGTGAGCCCATTTCTATTAGTCATCAATACTCAATGCTTTTAAGCTGTTATTTTAAGTCGAGTACCAACTTAACCAAACAATGAGTCTATACCAAGCCTCAACAGTAAATCGACTTAGCCAAAGTGGATGGTCACTGACTTGCTCAAAGAGATCTCTGAACAATTTAACGCCACGTCATTAAACTATGGAATTTGCAATCACAAGGTGATGTGATGGCATTTGAAGATAACTTTTAAAAAGGGGTATTAGACTAATCAGTGAAAGATACGTCTATCAATGGCTGCTAGTCATGGTAGCTATATACTACCTCTGGGAAAGAAGAGTTGGAGAGGGCTAGTACTCTTCTTGGCTTCCTTAGATACAGCTTGGTCAGCCACTGTTGGAGGATGGATGGCGGCTAACGGATTGAGGTTGAATCCTGACAAGACAGAAGTACTGGGGGGACAGGGGGCGGGCGGGTGTGGAGGACTCCCTGGTCCTGAATGGGGCAACTGTGCTCCTGAAGGAGCAGGTGCGCAGCCTGGGAGTCATTATGGACTCACAGCTGTCCATGGAGGGGCAGGTCAATTCTGTGTCCAGGGCAGCTGTCTACCAGCTCCATCTGGTACGCAGGCTGAGACCCTACCTGCCCGCAGACTGTCTCACCAGAGTGGTGCATGCTCTGGTTATCTCCCTCTTGGACTATTGCAATGCGCTCTGTGTGGGGCTACTTTAAAAGGTGACCCAGAAACTACAACTAATCCAGAATGCGGCAGCTAGACTGGTGACTGGGAGCGGCCACCAAGACGACATAACACCGGTCTTGAAAGACCTACGTTGTCTCCCAATATGTTTCCGAGCACAATTCAAAGTGTTGGTGCTGAGCTTTAAAGCCCTCAACGGCCTCGGTCCAGTATACCTGAAGGAGCGTCTCCACCCCCATTGTTCAACCCAGACACTGAGGTCCAGCTCCGAGGGCCTTCTGGTGGTTCCCTCACTGCGAAAAATGAGGTTACAGGGAACCAGGCAGAGGGCCTTCTTGGTAGTGGTGCCCGCCCTGTGGAACACCTTCCCATCAGATGTCAAGGAAATAAACAACTACCTGACTTTTAGAAGACATCTGAAGGCAGCCCTGTTTAGGGAAGTTTTTAATGACTGATGTTTTAATGTATTTTTAACCTTCTGTTGGAAGCCACCCAGAGTGGCTGGGGAAGCCCAGCCAGATGGGCGGGGTATAAATAACAAATTACTATTATTATTCATGTGAGAAGGAGGTTGCTGGATGAAATAGGGTTTGATGTCATCCAGAAAGCATGTGTTATGTCCAGTACAGGCAACTATTGTGATGACATAAAATACATTAAATACTGAAACATTTCTGATTAGCTAGGAACATATTTCTTATATAAGGCTCGATTATGAAACCCATTTCTTGATTTTGGAAAAGAAGCAGTTCTAGTCTGCTGTGCTGTGGATTTTATTAAAGTGTAAAGTGAAGAAGGAAAAAAAAGAGAGCAATGCTTTTGACTGACTGTAACTCTCTCAGAAATCTTAAGTAGAAAGCAAAAAACAACAAAGCCTCAAAACACTTCTGAAAAATAGGGAAGTGTCATAATATAATAAATTTGCTGCTACGTTTTGGTTAAAACCTTCAGCAACACAAAAGCCTGTGTAGTTTTTTCTTCTTAACACAACATCTCCTGAAATAGGTGAACAAGATGTTATACTATAATTCCATCTAACAGAAAATTGAGGTGGCTGAATGCTTAAGAAGACAGTCCCTTTGTCCTCTCTTGGCTGGAAGCCAACAAGGCATCTTTGGCTCAGTAGATATTGTTTCTTCGATGCATGTGGTGAAAGAGAGAGAGATGGCTGCCCTGCCCTGTGCTTTTGTCATTACCTGCACAGGTGAGGCCACACCCACCTCTAGTCACATGCAGAGGAAGTCTGTCCCAGCCCAGAAGGAAACAGGAAGTTTACCTGCTGGCTGGACAAACATCCCTCCCCATGTGTAAACATGTTCACTCTAGGAATGTTGTACTTGACTGCTCTTGTGTTTCACATCCCACATGGAAATCATGCAGACAGAACATAATTTGTCTGTCAGACACAGAAAGCGAGCTTTGTGCATGCTCTCAAGCTATCGGAGACATAGAATGTTTTTTGCAGCTGTTTGCCAACCTAAAAATAAAAGTAAAATTCCCAATACCCATGCACATTGATTCCCAAAGTGGGACAGCCATTTTGATATCGGAGAGCAATATACGACGTACCAGAACATTACGGTTACGTTTGGAGTTTGCAAAACTAATGTTTAATGATAAAATCGTTAATTTTGAATACATAGCTGGACTAGAGCAAATTGCTGATGTCTTCACAAAGGCTTTGCCAACAGCTATGCATCTTAAACATACACAGAAAATGCTAGATGTTTCTGCTATGCATCATTGACTAGCAGGGGGTTGCTGGTTTTTCTTTATCTTAAAGTGGTCAATAATACTACTCAGAAACCAGGTTGGTTTCAGAGGTGTATGCTGCACACCTGTGGTCACTCGACTTTTTGCCTAATTAAAAGGGGAGTTACTTTCTGCACTGGGTGCGGGAAGGGATGGGATGTGATAGGATAATTGGTTAATTGAAACTGTATTTAGTTTGACCAAATGTCTTGCAAGTTGCTGGTAAGGAGGAGTGTTGGCTTGTAGCATTTGGTGGTTCTGTTTTCAAAAATAAAACTTAAGAAAAGATATTGTGGATGGCTTTTTATTTCTACGCTCCATTCGCTGCGCACACTCTGTGTTGATGAAGAAGTTTAACAGGGACATCTAATTACCTAATATGACTAATAAAACATTCACAAAGTCACTGTTGATATATGCTCTTCATTCATCCATTGCCTTCCTCTCTGTTTTCATCATCAAGCACAAGCACTTATTTCAGCCTTTCTCAACCTGTGGGTCCCCAGATGTTGTTGAACTACAACTCCCATCACCCCTAGCTAGCAAGGCCAGAGCTCAGGGATGATGGGAGTTGTAGTCTAACAACATCTGGGGACCCACAGGTTGAGAACCTCATTGCTACATATGTAGATGTGATTTTGCTTCTTATTTAGAAGTGTTTTCATCTGCCATCAAACCAATGAAGATAGCTAGAAGGCAATGCCTTTGTGGTTTAATATACATATACTTTACTGCATCCTGTAGTGGTTTGGAGAATACTGCCATCAACTGTTTTTGTCATCATCTTACTGATAAAAGCAGCATTTATACCTAACTTTGAGCTATTGATTAAATTTAAACAAGACCAATTGAAACTGGATCACTCATAGATGTTAAAGACTTCCAAATCCTGCTGATCAAGGGATTGTGCACTTGCCATTTAACTTGCTCTATCTTCTTTTGCCCTGAGGGAAGGAAAGTGGAGTTTTTAGAATTCTGCCTTGCTTGGAATAACAGGAAAGGACAAAAAGTAAAAAGGGCACGGGCTCCATTTCCTCCAAGGCAGGTGAGTGAATCAATAGCAGTGGAGCTGAGTGTCCATTTCACTTACTTTTTTGCCTTTTCCTGCCATGCCAGGGTAGAGAAGAGGTAAACTAATGAGCCCTGGTAGTCTAATGTGATTCAGAGTTTGGGTTATCTAATCTCATTGGCTGGGATCAGAAGAGCTGCTGCATTTGGATGCTGCTTTCACTTTTAAAAGTGCTTTGCATTTTGGAATAAAAGGCAGCTGTTCCTACAAGCCCCTTGGGCATGCAAAATGAGTCGCATGGTTCTTTGTACCTCAGTCATAATGTTTTGCACAATAGTTTCTTATTGTATTCCTATTTGCTCCTTAACCTCATCATTTTTTTCTATGCGAAACTGAAGATTTTTAGATCTGCAGGTTCACTCACAAAATAGGTTTTCTTTGAAGTACAAATGGCAATTACTGCTTATTAGAGGCTGCAGGTTCCTATAATTTTTATGAAAAAAACAAATCCTTAGGGTGGTATCCCATTAAGTCAAACTCAAGAGTAGGCCCACTGAAAACAATTGACAAGTTACTTACATCCATTGATAGCAATTGAATACGCCTAATGTTGGATGGGACGCGGGTGGCGCTGTGGGTAAAACCTCAGCGCCTAGGACTTGCTGATCGCATGGTCGGCGGTTCGAATCCCCGTGGTGGGGTGCGCTCCCGTCGTTCGGTCCCAGTGCCTGCCAACCTAGCAGTTCGAAAGCACCCCCGGGTGCAAGTAGATAAATAGGGACCGCTTACCAGCGGGAAGGTAAACGGCGTTCCGTGTGCTGTGCTGGCTCGCCAGATGCAGCTTGTCACGCTGGCCACGTGACCCGGAAGTGTCTGTGGACAGCGCTGGCTCCCGGCCTATAGCGTGAGATGAGCGCACAACCCTAGAGTCTGGCAAGACTGGCCCGTACGGGCAGGGGTACCTTTACCTTTTTTAATGTTGGATATCACCCTTAATAAACTTTATATAATTATGGCTAGTTCATCATACACAGGTACATATACATTTTACTAGCCTTTTCTCCAGTAAATTTCTCTAACCTGGTGCCCTCTGGTCCAAATCATATGGAGGACAAGCTGTTTGGAGAAGACTGCCTCACACAAAGTTAGTCCATTGGTCTATCCAACTCAGTAATTGTTTTTACCAACCGACTTTGCCCCAAACCCAAGATGAAGACTCAGCAACGGGTACTGGTAGGAAGGTTATATTTATTAAAACATAACAAGGAAAACATGTAAAAGTCTCAAATGCATGTGCGGGCAGGTAAAACTTAACAGTCCTGTTTGAGTCCTGTTTGTCCTGTCTGAGGTTGTGGGCAAAACCACACTAGATGAATGCCATCACCCAAGCTAGTGCGATGGAAGTCAAACCATAATGGGAAACCATGCGGGTGCCACATAGCAGATGCCAGCAAAGTATCCTGCCCAATGTTCAGCAAGTGGCACTTACCAGACCCGAAGCACAGGAAACCAAACAGTCCACCAAATCTGCTGATGAAAGGAGGTGGTTGGTGAATAATAATAATAATAATAATAATAATAATAATTTTTATTTATACCCCGCCCTCCCCGGCCAGAGCCGGGCTCAGGGCAGCTAACACCAGTAAAATTACAGTTAAAACATAATGGGGGGGGGGGAACCCAATTTAAAATACAGGTTAAAATGCAATTTAAAATGCAGCCTCATTTTAAAAGTAGCCCATAGATCAAAACCATAAGGGGAGGGAAGCATAGGGGTCAGACTGAGTCCAAACCAAAGGCCAGGTGGAACAGCTCTGTCTTGCAGTCCCTGTGGAAAGATGAGTATAATGTGTTCTTTTATTTAAAATGCATCTCTGGGTTATTTGTGGGGCATAGGAATTCATTCATTTTTTCTCCCAAAATATAGTCCAGCCCTCCACAAGGTCTGAGGGACAGTGGACTGGCGCCCTGCTCAAAACGTTTGCTGACCCCTGGCATAGTGTATATGCCAAGTTTTTGTGTCAGCGTCACGTGGATAGGTTATGTATGTATGTATGTTGATGGTGCGAGAGGTTGGAAAGCCCAGAACATGGTTGGTTGCATTCAGTTGATTTCAGTGAGTTGTTTTTGTGTGTGTGTGTGTGTGTGTGTGTAGGGGAGGGGGATTGTTGGGTAAATTAGTCATATCAATTTGTAGGCTGGGGGGGGGTGTGAGTGTTAGGTCATTGTCTTGTTGGGCTGAATATGTAATAAAGGGGAGCCACACCGGGGTGAAGGCATCGTCTTTTGTTTGTCCCTGTACTAATTTCGATTTTTTTGTTAGCTTTTCTAGTAGAGCTTCTGCCCCATACATTTTGGTATGGGGTCCGTGTTCACTCCTGATAGGTCCCTCCAGTGTCTAGTTATGGCACTCCTAGCTGCTGAGAATAAGTGGGTTCTGAATTCTTTGTAATGTGAGTACGCATTGTTGTCATGGAAGATATTTTATAGAGCTACAGTGGTACCTCGCAAGACGAATGCCTCGCAAGACGAAAAACTCGCAAGACAAAAGAGTTTTTCGTTTTTTGAGTTGCTTCGCAAGATGAATTTCCCTATGGGCTTGCTTCGCAAGACGAAAATGTCTTGCGAGTTTGTTTCCTTTTTCTTAAAACCGTTAATACCGTTAAAACCGTGCTTCGCAAGACGAAAAATTCGCAAGACGAAAAAACTCGCAGAACGAATTAATTTCGTCTTGCGAGGCACCACTGTAGTTCTGAAGTTTCTCCTAATACAGCTTCTGTTATTTTACAGATCTCTTGTAGGACTGATGAATATGTAATGTCTTGTTATGTTTTTATATATGTTGGAAGCTGCCCAGAGCGGCTGGGGCAACCCAGTCAGATGGGTGGGGTATAAACAATAAAATTATTACAGAATAGGGTGTCGCTATTTTCACCAGAAAAATGTTGGCGGGTATGTTGTAAGCCGGTATAGATCCTGTGGATAAAGGCAGGGCCAAGCTAGATGTGATGGGGGCGTTTTCCAATGCTTAAATATGGAACCAACCCATTCAGTAAGGAAAAAAAGGTAAGGAAAAAAGGGCAAGGGGAACCACAGGAATGAAAAGTACATGTCCCCTCCTTCTCTGACTGGTGGCTTATCTCACCCATGGCTCTGCTTTTCAGTCCCAAACGCACCTCTGCCTTTGGTAGAAGAGCTGTGGGTAACTAGGAGCTTTTCCACACATCTACTTGTTACGTGCCTAGAGAGGTTTTTTCATTCGCCCCACTGCTTTCCCTGGGGAAAACATGCTGCTTACCACTGAATTGGAGCAAACTTCAATCCACATAAAAACAGATTCAGCAGTAAATGGTGGGTTTCCCCTGGGGGGGGATGGAAGAAGTGTGGGTGAGCCGTAAGCAGCGGTGGAGGAAGCCACTTGGGTGCCTGGGGTTCGCGCCCAGGGACGGGGCATTCCGCGGGGCCTCCAGAGTCTGCTTGCCTCCCCCCACTCAGCCTCCCTACAACTGGGGGGGGCGCAGCAGGCAGGCCGTTTGAGCTGCGTGGAGCCTGAGCGGTACTGAAAGATCTTCATTGGCTCCCAGTACATTTCCGAGCACAATTCAAAGTGTTGGTGCCGACTTTTAAAGCTCTAAACGGCCTCGGTCCTGTATACCTGAAGGAGCGTCTCCACCCCCATCGTTCAGCCCGGACACTGAGGTCCAGCGCCGAGGGCCTTCTGGTGGTTCCCACGTTGCAAGAAGTGAGGTTACAGGGAACCAGGCAGAGGGCCTTCTTGGTAGTGGCGCCTGCCCTGTGGAACACCCTCCCAGCAGATGTCAAGGCAATAAACAACTATTTTACTTTGAAAAGACAACTGTTTAGGGAAGCTTTTAATGTCTGATGCTGTATTGTTTTTAATCTTTTGTTGGAAGCCACCCAGAGTGCATAGCTGTCAGCTTTCAGATTTGAAAATAAGGGATCAGCAGCCTCACCTGTCCTGTGGACAGTCTATGGGATATCTAACAATCTGGGATAGCAGCAGGAAACGGTGCCGGAATAAGAGAATATCCGGTGAAAAAAGGGAAGGTTGACAGCTATGCCAGAGTGGCTGGGGAAACCCAGCCAGATGGGCAGGGTATAAATAATAAATTATTATTATTATTATCTAAGCCACTGCGTTTCTCACAGGAGACACATGGCTAGGGCACGCTGCAGGCCCCGCGGTGAGTGCCGCCTGGCATTTTGTCACCCCCCTCAGTGGTGACACCCAGGGCATCCCACACCCACCGCACCCCCCTTGCTCTGCCCCTGGCTCCCCTCAATTACAGTCTTGCTTTTAAGATCTTGTGTTTCCCACACTTCTCTCCGTAAGCGATTAGGGCATTTCCCTGTTGAACCGCACAGAACTGTGGCTGTCTCCTCCAGTGTTGACCTGAGCATCTCATTTGAAGTGGGGCGAGGAGGGGAGGGGAGGGGACTGTAAATGCTGTCGCGCCGCGTAAACAGAAAGTAGAATTCCAGCCCACAAATTCCAACCGGATCATTCTCTTTTCTCCCCGAGCATATGTCGATACGCAGCACAACAGAGCAGGGAAAGCTAAATAAATAAGTGTGACATGAGGTTTTAGTACAATAACAGCAAGGGAGGAGGCAGGGCACTTCAATTAATAATGGAGCGCAGAGTTCCTGATAGAGCCGTTCTTTAATAATGTTTAAAAGAGGTACAAGGAGCCCTGGGAGAAGCTTTAGAGATAACTGCAATGGGCATTTTGCCCAGCAGTGCCCATGAGGCACAGCTCCTCCTGCAGAATAAGTTCAAAAAGGAAATGGAAATTGCTTCCTTTGACGAGAATGGGTAACTTTTGAAGCAAGGCTTCAGCCGGCCCTGACGCAGGAATAAAGGTGGCCTGATACCCCACAATACTGAGAAAAGGAGCAGGCAAATTTCCGCTTTTCAGAGTTCTCACCATCAGGATAGGGGTTGTGCCTGTTGGTGATTTGATGGAGATTTAGGCTGCCAAACTGAATCTTCCGTAAAAGTTTGTTTGAACTAGATGGACGCTCAATGAAAATTAGCTGCTTCTTCCATACACTCGCAATGTTTCTCCTTTTTTCCAGCGTAACTATGATGACAAAAACTTCTCTGAATATAATTGCATTTGGAGGTAAGCAAAATCTAAAGAAAAGGGGAAAAAAACCCAGTTTCAATTCATGTTATATGTTAAAATGAACAACCCTGCAATGAAAAGAGAAATACAGTGGTACCTTGGTTTCCATATGTCTTGGTTTGCATACGTTTTGGATTACAAACACGTTTAACCCAGAAGTGTGCAACCTTTTGTTGGATTACAACCCATTTTTTTGGATTACGAACAATTTTTTTTGGGAGGCCCCATTGGTGAAAGCGTACCTTGGGTTACAACCAACTTTGGTTTACAAACGGACCTCCGGAACGGATTATGAATGTAAACCAAGGTACCACTGTACTAATTGTGGTGGGAAATCAAATCGCAAGTAAATAGCAGTAGGAGGTTACATATTTTAAGCAGTATACCTGTTGACTGGTTCGTATCTTATAAGGAAGTGCAGTTTATAAATCTTTAAATAAATAACTACAGTGGAAACATATTTAAGCAGTTGTCATTGTGGTTAGAGTTCCAGCCTTGGAGACCTAGGAGTTCAAACCCCACTTGGCCATGAAACCCACTGGGTAGCCGTGGGCCAGTCATTATCGCTTAGCCTAAACTATCTCACAGGGTTGTCATAAGAAATAAATGGCAAGAGAGAGAGCCATGTACATTACCTTGCGCTCTTTGGAAGAAATGAGGGATAAAAGTACATAAAAACAAATAAATGTATCTTAACAGTAACTTTGCCAGAGTTCTAGTCTCAAAAATCTAAGGTTTATTTTCATCTTGCCTAGCCTAGAAGGGCTGATTCCAGGTTGAGTTCAGGCTCAGCATTTTCTAAAGACAAGCAAAGGCCCAGCACCTGAACAGGATAAAGTAATACACATTCTCTCCAACTCATAGCACAGTACTTACTATTTAAACTCCCCTTGCCACTATTGCTTGGATAAGTTCAAGTCATTGCAACCTAAGAAAGTTGGAGAGCGCTGTCGGTCATCTGTTTGCTTGCCCACTTTCCATTGTGTCTAATAACACCTGAGGGGGATTTGTTGTTGTTGTTTAGTCGTTTAGTCGTGTCCGACTCTTCGTGACCCCATGGACCAGAGCACGCCAGGCACTCCTGTCTTCCACTGCCTCCAGCAGTTTGGTCAAACTCATGCTGGTAGCTTCGAGAACACTGTCCAACCATCTCGTTCTCTGTCGTCCCCTTCTCCTTGTGCCCTCCATCTTTCCCAACATCAGGTTCTTTTCCAGGGAGTCTTCTCTTCTCATGAGGTGGCCAAAGTATTGGAGTCTCAGCTTCAGGATCTGTCCTTCCAGTGAGCACTCAGGACTGATTTCCTTAAGAATGGATAGGTTTGTTCTTCTTGCAGTCCATGGGACTCTCAAGAGTCTCCTCCAGCACCAGAATTCAAAAGCATCAATTCTTCGGCGATCAGCCTTCTTTATGGTCCAGCTCTCAATTCCATACACCAGCTGAATCTTTGAATGTTAAAAGAGAGTGGTCCAGCCATTCTGACAAAAATGTGTTTGCAGACACATTTCTCTCTCTCTCTCTCTCTCTCTCTCTCTCTCTCTCTCTCTCTCTCAGTGCAACTCATAGTTTGCACAGTTTTCCATTTCCTTTACCTGAGATGCTATGTTTGTTTTTCCATGGCAAACCATCAGTATTCAGAAGTTCAGAATATTGTTGGATTCAGTTGAATTTGTGTGTCATTATGCAAGTGAGATTGGACATTAGTAGTGACGCAGTTCCCCAGCTTGTAACCAAGATGGAATATTTCACATTTGACTGTATACATGCAATTCCAATCATACCCTATATAGGTCATGTTCTATGGTGGAGGTTTGCACAGAAATCCCATTATTTGTGCCCTACTATTAACATATCACCCTGTGTCACAGAGTGACATTTCTTTCAGTGCATGCTCTTGATACCAGCTATCCTCGTAAATGTACTGTAGCTTTCACCCTATCCATATCACGTTTCACAAGTCAGCCCACATTTCAACTCCTAAATCGTGATAAAATCTATTTGCCAAAGGTATTTCATTTACATTTCTTTTGTCTTCTTTTGATTGCATTATGTAGAACGCCATGGACACAGTGTTATGTACACACATAATAAAATTACTATTAATAATAATAATAATAATAATAATACCAGGTTTAGAATAATCTTGTGCGTGATATAAAAAATACAAAGTGAGACATTAAGGAAATCCAAAGGGAAAATATGAAGAAGAGAGGATCTGACGAATGGATTATTAAAAACACATGAGGCAAATGGTGGAAGACTTTTAAAAAAACAAAGAAACACTTTTTAAGATAGATAAGGACAAGTTGAGATTATACAATTGAATATAAATATAGATGGGAAACGGCTATGTATAGTGAATACTTAACTACTTTAAAAAAAATTCACCTATGATCCTTTTCTTTTACTTCTTTATTTTTTCTTTGTTCTTTTTTTCCTTTTTTTCTGATATCTTATCTTTCATTTCACTCTTTTATTGTGAATAGCATTTTAAAGAGGTATAAATAACTGTAAATATGAAAAGAGACAAAGTATTCTCTAATTATTTTCCTTGGTTATATGTATTTTCTTTTTCTTTTGTATTTTCTTTTGTTGTAAATATGTATGTTTTCTAATTTGTACTTAATAAAATTAAATAAATAAATAAATAATACCAGGCTCATTGCGAATTTTGATTACCTGCAAACCAACTGTTCTAATCTGCAAATTCCAGCTTTCTGTTGCTGTTCATAGGAGCATAGTATATTTTTTTCGCCTTCTATGATGTTTTAAAGAAATTATCAGCAGGCTTGTTTGGGGCATGTGCCTTTATGCATGTCTTCATGTCCAAGGAACAGAAATAATTGGAGAGAATTCAGTTCCAGATGCTAGGGGAACCATTTCCTACCGCTACCCTGACTCTCTTTTGCCAGAGAACGCTCTGCTGCCCTCCAGTATCCTAGGAGTTCAGTTCAGTTTATTGTGTTTACTGTGCAGCCATCACACATAATGAAGTAAGGTGTTAGGTTTGCTGGTAGGAGATGTTATTAGATGATGGAGGCAGGCGTTTGCAGATGTTAGCCTTTTTTCAACTGTTCAATTGGAACATTCGTGAAAGACGAAGCAAAGAGTTCTGCTTAAGGAAACGGTAAACATATGTCCTTAAGCAGAACAGGAACAGACCATTGAAAACTGTTGCCAGTTGAGAAGGAACTGTTGCTACTAGAATAGAAGAACTCATGGTCACAGTCAGTATAATGACCTATGTTCAGGGTTGATAAATAAGGCATCTCTTCATAACAAAGGGGGAGGGAGCATGCTTTTACTATTTATCAACCTGGATGTAGTTTAAAACACTACTCATAAAACTATTTACTTCTGCTTCCATGCTATATATGTCTCCACAGTTTTAAGTTACTGGCAGGTGAATTGCTTTTAACATTCTTCTTCTATTAAGAAAGATACATAAAGAAAACGACATTTTCGCAGGAACAAGCTGCTTTTTATTACAGCCTTAAAAGTAAAAACAGCATGGCTGTAGGTGGAGAGCATTTCTTGAAAGCTACAGATAATTTGTCAGGCCAGCTGCAGCTCTTGATATTCAGCCATATCCAAACAGTTTTAAATCGCACCTGCCTTTTTTTGTGTGTGAAAGAAGGTAACATGATAAATGCGACTGCTTCTGGTTTATACTGTATCAAAAACGGTTTGATAACCCAGATTGTTATGGCTAGCCCTAAAATCCTATTCCAAATATGAAGCTTTTATAGCTCTTCTTGACTAGGGCGACCCACTGGGTCAGCCCAGGTGGGCAGGACCAATCCAAAATTTAGAACACTTTAGCGTCTGGGTTTCCCCAGTAGTGATGTATGGAAGTGAGAGCTGGACCATAAAGAAGGCTGATCGCCAAAGAATTGATGCTTTTGAATTCTGGTGCTGGAGGAGACTCTTGAGAGTCCCATGGACTGCAAGAAGATCAAACCTATCCATTCTGAAGGAAATCAGCCCTGAGTGCTCACTGGAAGGACAGATCCTGAAGCTGAGGCTTGAATACATTGGCCACATCATGAGAGGAGAAGACTCCCTGGAAAAGACCCTGATGTTGGGAAAGATTGAGGGCACAAGGGGAAGGGGACGACAGAGAACGAGATGGTTGGACAGTGTTCTCGAAGCTACCAGCATGAGTTTGACCAAACTGCGGGAGGCAGTGGAAGACAGGAGTGTCTGGCGTGCTCTGGTCCATGGGGTCACGAAGAGTCGGACACGAGTAAACGACTAAACAACAACAAGCGTCTGGGAAAATGCTCCAAACTACAGTTTCAGTGGCAACTGCACACAAAACTAAGAGTTCCTAGGCATTGTTGTGGTTGCTCCTGACACTAGGATTGATTTGTTACAGACAGTTTGAAGTTTCAATATTACACTAGAGTTGTTTTTTATCCTCATCATCATATTCAGGTGTTCAAAGTGCCTCTCATGCATTATCTCCCAGCTCCCAGCTAATAAAACTTCTGCGGATGGCAAATGTATAGCTAAATCACCAGGATTTGTAAGGTACAGTGGAGATTCCCAGCAAGTGAAGTTTTGTGTGCCCCTCGGGGCAACCATCTGCCAGCTACCTGACAGCATTGTTGCGACTGCATGAGATAAGATAGCGTTACTGTTAAAGCTGAAGGATTGATTATTAGGACTGTCATCTGAAAGTAAATGGGTTAGCAGTGTCAGAATAATTTAGTCAACTGATTAAAAGAAATCCTACACCAGGTAAAAACATTGAGGACATTAATTAAAAACTGTTGTGTGATCAAGGTTTTAGTCTTTGGAAGAATTATTACTCAAAATTTTCAAATTAACAGATGTGCAAAAGCTTAAATCGGCAGCACATGTTCGTAGGATAGCTGATTAAAAATCTTAGTTTTATCCATGATTATCCATACTGATTAATTTATTAGAGCTTGTTGTTGGCCTCTTTCTTCTTTGACCACTCAGCTACTAGCTTGGACATCCTTTGACTGTTAGCAATGCTTTCTATCACTTGTGCAGCCTCAAACACACACACACACACACACACACACACACACACACACACAAACATGTACAGGTTCTGTTGTCTAGCAATAACAATGTATGTAAGGAAATAAATAAGGTGTAAATTTGTGAAGAACCCATATGTGATGTTGCCTCATCACCTTCGTGAGACGTTAGACTTCAAAGTATAGAATTCATGTGAGCATTTCATTGTTGATCAAGATAAATTCACTGGAGTATGGTAAAAAAAAAAAAAAAAGCATTTAGCTATACTTGGTAAACGTATTACCCATACTCTCCTGTCTCTTGGAAACGTATCACAGAAATATTTTGGGAATTACAAGAAGTAGAAGACTTGGGGTGGGAAGCCTTCTAAATTGTACTTTCAAAAGGTAGGATGAGAGATGTGTGAACTACTAAAATAGGAGTGGATTTCACAGTATGCTGAGAGAAATGAGATGGGAAAAATATGTTTAGAGCAGGCGGAAGAGTGGATGTAGAACAAAAAGCAATGCTTGGTGGGTATGGCTGTGGCCATTGGAGGTCCTCTTCAGAGCCCAGCCCATCAGAGATATACCGGACCCCTACCTGAATTTTCAGCTCTGTCTCTCTCTCTTTCTAAAGACCATCCTTTTTGCTTTGGGAGGAATGGTGAGGGTAGATGTGGAGACATGAGGGGGTCATTCTATCCAGAAGTTCAGTACGAAGTTACCTTTTCCACTTAAGCTGCCTGTGCAAAATGAAAAGCCTGGGTGACCCTTCTGAATGGTGTGGGGGAACGTCATGAAGAGAGAGGGGTGCCATTAAGTGGGAGAAGAGAACTGGCAAAAATCAGCTGCAGGCACCTTGCATAAGCAGGATACAGGCACCATACGGTCTCTGTGTAGTGCCACCACTACTGAAGAGGTGCTTTACCCAGTCACATGTTGCTTTTAATTCAAAGAGCAAAGTCACCAAAAATAGTTGAGGGAAGGAAGGAAGGCGGAGAGAGGGAGGGAGGAGTAGCCAATGTTGCTTAAGACAGAGTTGGGATTCAAGATGATCTTAATAGATTGGAGAACTGGGTCCATACTAAGAAAATGAATTTCATTAGGAACAAATGTAAGGTTCTATACTTAGGCAGGAAGAACCAGCTGCATCAATATAAGATGGGGGGTATCTGGCTTACCATAGTACATGTGAAAAGCACCTAGGGGTCTTAGTAGACCACAAGCTTAATATGAGTCATCAAGGGTGCAGGGGGGGGAGCTAACACTATTCTAGGCTGCATCAACAGAAGTATAGTTTCCAGGTCAAGGGAAGTAATAGTCGCACTCTAGTCTGCCTTGATCAGAGCACACCTGGAGTACTCTGTGGGCACCACAGTTTAAGAAGGATATTAACAAGCTGGAATGGGTGCCAAGGAAGGCGACCAAGATGATCAAGGGTCTAGAAACCAAGCCTTATGAGGAATGGTTGGGGGAATTGGGAATGTTTAGCCTGGTAAAGAGAAGACTGAGAGGTAATATGATAACCATCTTGAAGTAATTAAAGGGCTGTCACATGGAGAGTGGAGCAAGCTTGTTTTCTCCTGCTCTGGAGGGTAGGACCCAAGCCAATTGCTTCAAGGTAGAAGAAAGGAGATTCCAACGAAACATCAGGAAGAACCTTTTGACAGGAAGAGCTGTTCGATAGTGGAACAGACTCCCATGAGAGGTGGTGGGCTCTCCTTCCTTGAAGGTTTATAAGCAGAGGTTAGGTAGTCATCTGTCATGTATGATCTGGTAGAGATGCATTGCAGTGGTTTGGACTAGATGTCCTTCAGGGCCCCTTTCAAATCCATGATTCTGTGATTCCATATCATGCATAGTTTGCTTTTTGGTGGGCTCGGTGTATTGGATGCTGCTAAGCACTTGCAAAAGATGTAGTTTATCCGCATTGGCATTACCAGTGAAGTGCATGTTTGCCTTTGAAGAGTTCATCTTTTTAATTTAGCAAAAGTGTGTATGATTGATGAAACATGGCTCTTAATGTTTGTCTTCTATAAATTCAAAAGCTACAGTGAGGTATTCATTTTAGATATATCAGGCACGCCCAGCTCCCAAGAAACTGTGATCTACTTCCACTATTTAGAAAAACTGGCAATGATCTACCCAAGATGGTGGCTAACTGCCCAAAATGTTGAGTTTTTTTGGGGGGGGGAGAGGCCACAATTTTTTATATTACTTGGGGGGGGGAGTGATCACTTTCTGTCATCCTGCGATCTACCTGCAGCACCCCGGTGATCTACCTGCGACGGCCCAATGATCTACCAGTAGATCACGATCTACACATTGTACATCCTTGATATATATCATTGAAACACTGTAAAATGGCATGTGCACAACATCCTGGGTTCCAGATCTTGCATCTGAAGATATTTGTGCCCACTGTGAATTAACATGCAACACACGAGGTCATTAAACCAGGGCCTTGCAGAGCCAGACAGGTAGATAATGTGTCCTCTCTTTTTTTTACCCTGGGGATAAATGAAGTTTCCACCAAATTTTATCCCCATTGAGCTATATGTACCCCTCGGGTGTAAGTAATATTCCTTGCCTAGTCAACAATTTTTTTAACAAATGGCCACATCTTCATCAATTTTTCATCATTTTCAAAAAAAAATTTAGCAAAAAGAAAGCCAACACACTTATCTTTAAGGTACGTGTGGTTTTAATTTTTGGCAAACAAGATTTGAAACAAAAACTCACCAACTTTTAACAGCATGAAAAACGTTCGTGGCGCACTGGCTGCTGGAGCCTTGGTCACCTCCACACACACACACACACCGTGCCCGCTCCTTTGTGGAGCCGATCACAGGCCGTGCCCTGGACGCTGGGGAAGCTTTTCTCTCACACTGCCAGCCAGGGAATCCGCCCGCCAACGCCTTTGCTCCTCCGCGTTCGCCCCAGTGGATCCCCTGCGATTGTGAATATGCTGACCGAGGCCCCCTTTGTAATCGGAGGCCCAGGCCTGCATTGAACTAGAATGCACTTTGTAAAGCACACCCAGGATACTTTGCTGTGCCTCATGGAAGTGTGTCAAAGGGTTGTCCCAGCATCTGCGCCATTTTGCATATCGTAAGGTGCAGGGAAGCAGAACCTCTGAGCAAAACTCTGATTCTGTTTTGAACATGGTGATTTCCAAATTATTCTCATTTGCATTCTTCATAGCTGAAATAAACTGTCAATCCTATTTAGAACAGTAAAGAATTTAATTTGTATTGCCCTACCCCAAGTTCACAATTAATTTCACAAAGCCAATAATAGCCTACACTGTGATGATAGTTTCTATCACCTTTGCAGCCATCGTGATTTCTAACTGAGTTTATTTAATGCTGATTAGTTTCATTTCCTTCTGTCGCTCAAAACTTAAAACTCTCATATGGATTTGTAGATAGAACAAATGTTGTATGGATGGAGAGATTCTGCTGGATAGTCCTGATATCAATATATATTGGTAACTTTTCAGCATTGTATTTGTTCATGGCAGGGTGGATTTGATTAAAATCAAATTGATTTAAATCGTGATTTAAATCACAATTTAAATCACTAGTCAGTAAGACTTGATTTAAATCATTATTTTTTTACAGAAAGACTAATTCTTGCTGGTATCATCTTAATATTTACAACGAGATGAAGGTTTCATTTTTGGAATAATAAATTTTCAGAGTAGTTTTTTCAGTTATATCAAAAATTACTGATTTGGTTATACTATTAGAAATACATAGACAGATAATGATGAAATTATTGTGAAGTTTAATAAGTTAACTGTTTATATTTGGAAAACTTTTCTGCCGTACTTTATTGGAAGGTGAAAAATAATCATTTCCTTAATAACAATTTAAACAATGTATTTAACTAAAACAATAACATTATAGCATATGTATCCATGTTTGCAAACTGATGTGTTTAAACAGTTTTTTTTAAAAAAGCTTAGAGTTTTAGCACACAAATCATTTTCTGATGAATAGTCTTTGGACTATAATGTAACTTAAATAGAAGACTGTCTTTAGAAAGATTTTTCCTCCAAAAGCATTTTATTTTAAAAATCCAATTTAAAATTTTAAAAAAAATCTGAGTTAAATCAATAAAATCTGATTTTTTAAATTATTATTTTTTAAAAAATCATTGTTTTTTATCCACCCTGGTTCATGGTTTATGCTTCTTGTTAGTCGATAACTCTGTGCAAGGTTGTACTACTTCAGACTGCAGTTGAATCTTTAAAGGATTGGATATTTTTCCATACATGGAGTGGGGGCAATCCACCCACATAAGAAAATGAACTTGTCTGGGAATATGGCTTGAGTAGAGTTTTACCTCCTCGGCTAACTATAACATGTTGATATGCTTTGACAGTGTGTGTGTTTCTTAAAGCCCAAAGAATGAAAATTCTTGAATTTCCCCCAACAAGATTTCATCTTACCCTGTAGACTGCTTCTGAATGAGACATCAGTAACATTCTTGCCAACTGTTAACTTGTAGACAGCCTATAGTTAAATAGGGAGCTTTGCGTCCATAGTTCCACAGCCTGTTTCAATAAATGGTCAGGGAAAATAATATTCTGCTCAAGAAAACAGATGAAATTGTAGGGGAAATGGAAGGTTATTTCCTTATGTTTATCCCTACTTCTAGAGACTCGGTTCCTCCTCCATATGGCTTTTATCTCACTCCCAGCTCATGAATAAAAGTGCTTTGGGGACCCATCAATGTTAATACATTGATGGGGACCCATCAATGTTAACTAGATTGTACCTGTTTATGGATATTTATTTGGATGAAGGTTTGGTAACAAGTTGCCTTCTACTGGGGGGTTTGAACTGGGAGCATTGTGCTTCAGCCCTCGATTCCTGTGCCAACCTCAGGTTGATGACCAGGGGATGGAAGTAAAGGCAGTACCAGGCAGAACTCTATTCCCACATTCCCACTTCCTCTTGCTCCTGCTGGTCATCAGTTGATAACAAAACCAGACCCCATCCTGACAAGTAGGGATGCGGGAGAAATTCAATTCAGTTCACATTTACAGGCAAATTTACTTTATTTGCACTTTCCATAACAGTACGAGAACTGAAACACAGCCATCCTTCTTCAAATTTTGCAACGAAGTATACCAGCCCACCGGTGTGTATGAATATGCACACACCAGAGTACAGTGTGCACATATAAGTGGGGAAAAAAACATACAAAATGCATTGTTTTGGGGAAAATTGCTTCGGGAAAGTGTGTATATTAAGACAATATTGCATACAAATGTTTGTACAGTCGTACCTTGGATTCTGAACGCCTTGCGAGTCAAACGTTTTGGCTCCTGAACGCCGCAAACCTGGAAGTGAGTGTTCCGGTTTGCAAACGTTCTTTGGAACCCGAACGTCCGACACGGGTTTCGTGGCTTCCGATTGGCTGCAGGAGTTTCCTGCAGCCAATCGGAAGCCGCACCTTGGTTTCTGAACATTTTGGAAGTCGAATGGACTTCCGGAACGGATTCCGTTTGACTTCAGAGGTACAACTGCATTAGGAGAAATCTGCAAGAAAATGCTAATGAATTTATATGAGACCACCTTTTTTTAAAAAAATGCAAACTAATGTGAAAATACGGTTAACTTAAAACTGGGGGGGGGGGATAGAAATGAAGCAAAACTGAAATGGACACATTTACCCATCCCTGCTGCATAGCCAGGTGTCCTACTTTACAGACGACAGTCCTCCTTTTTGAAGGGATATCATAGGTTAGTCTTCTGTTTAAAGGTGTTCACTGTCTGAAGAGGTGTCTGGTCCAAGTCTGAATTAAAGATAAAGAATCCTAAGAAGGGAGAGCAGGAGGGGCCTTGAAGCTACTCATCAACAGTTAGCACCCGGACAGCAGACTGAACAGAAACACAGGTCACCCGGTCACAGTCTACGCTACTATGGTGAGATGCCCTGTATTTCTATTTAAGTTTTAGTAGTTATTTCCAAATAAGTGTCTATACATAAAAATCAACACATGGAATTTTTATGCAAATATGTGCCCTCTTTTGCCCTCCTCTGTGTTGACTCATTTCCTCTCTTTTGGTAATGCATAACTGGCATCCTGTACCATGTTCTTGCAGGCTGCAAGATACCGTATTTTTCGCTCTATAAGACGCATCAGACCATAAGACGCACCTAGTTATTGGAGGAGGAAAACAAGAAAAAAAATATTCTGAATCCCAGAAGCCAGAACAGCAAGAGGGATGCGAAAGCAGCGATCCCTCTTGCTGTTCTGGCTTCTGGGATAGCTGCACAACCTGCATTTGCTCCATAAGATGCACACACATTTCCCCTTACTTTTTAGGAGGGAAAATGTGAATCTTATAGAGCAAAAAATACAGTATACTGCTTTCCTGTAGGGCTTACCCACACATACCTTTTGCTCCGCTGTTTGCAGACACAGGTCCACACTTTGAAGCTCCATCCCTGAGTGGCTTTTTTTCCTCTGGAGTTTTCCTTGCAAAACCCGGTTCTTAAGGCTGAATCGGAGCAAACAGCACTTTGGGTTTTCAGTGTTTATAGAAATTACAGAGGAAACGTAAGTGTTCATAAGCACTTACTCTGGACAATGAATTGCTGAGCTAGCAGGCTATTCCTGAGTTGCCAGACAATGTGAGCTACCTGTTTGCCCCAGGCATTTGCTAGCCCTTGAACATGATCTCCTGTCACTTTGGACATGTGTTAAGAAGGAGATTTCAAAGGGACTTAGCAGTATTGAATCAGGTATACATATATCTGTGTTTGCACCTGCATCCAGTATGCATGAAAATTACCGTTGCAATTGCATTATACATTTTTCGTTAATGTGATGCATCCCAGGTTTTGAAGAAAATTGTGTTTATTTCCTTGCAAAAGTTAAATAAAAAGACTTAAGGAATTCCCATGAAGAAACTCCCACATCCTCTGTATATGAAGGGAAACATCAGTGAAAGAACCTTATTACAAGTGTAGTCCTGTTTTTACATGTCCCTTTGAAGTTACTGCAAGATAAATAAAAACAACCTCCTCAGATATTTTTTTGCTGCTGAGTTTTCTTTGTCTTGCTTTAATTTTGGGAACCTAGAACAACTTTGCATTATGACTCATTTTTCTAAGGAGAATTGGACTTAATGGCTAGAAGAGGGAGAGAAATGATTTAGCTTATGTATTAGTATGACTAGTCTCCTGTTCTTTTCTTTTTATTACAGACACAGTAGCTATTGTGAACTTGTTTCTAAAGCTCGATCTGTTCTATAAGGACAGATGACATTGTAACAGTTTGTGATAACATTGCTTTCTGAAGTTGTTGCTGAATCTGAATAGCTGAATGTTTCACTGCAGTCTGGGTTATTTGCCATAAATGCAACTCCCAGCACAGAGAAAAGATGACCTCTGGCAAAGCATTGGGTTTGTTGGAAGATTTTCCCCCACCTTCCCTTTGGAGACAGCCCAGGAAATTCCAGGTGTCAGAATTTTTGGCTCATTGTGCTGCCAGGTTTTAACAAAAGTCCCAAGAGTAGAATGGGCAGAATGTTGCTGTTCAAGAAATTTACAAATTATATATATATATATATATATGCACTTTTATGAACTTTTTTTAATGTTATAAAAGAGAGAGACTCTTGTTATTATCTGGTTACTATTTGTGTATAAATATTGTGTAAGAATACTGGATTGAATGGAGCGAAGAAGGTATGCAGTTGGATTGTAAAATATGAAAATTGGCATCGCTGCTGCAATATTGTAGGCATAACCCCATCTCTTGCATTTTCCATCCCATGAAAATCTCCCCTCCTTTTCAGATGGTGTAGCATAACATCTGCACTGATGCTAATCATAGCTAGCGTTATCCAGGATTGCCTTCAATCTGGATTTGCAAGCTAGGAATCAAGTTTATTATCACGTGAAAGTGTCTCTCAAGATATGATCTCCCCTGTTGATCTCCCCTGTTCTGTAAGTCCATGGCAATGAGTAAGATAGTTATTATGACTATAGCCCTGAAATCATAGCATTTATGCACATAGACCTAGTCTAGGTGTGGAAATTGGTTTTTTGAAAGAAGAAGGCCGAAACTGTTTACTAGATAAGAGCAGTTAACTTGTAGGAATCAGGTGCTGCTAATACATTGTGTTTTGGACTTTAAGACAGTAGTCTGATTTGCGCTGCATACTTGCCAAACCATTGTTTAGTGTGAACCCACAGGCTCTAGGAGAGAATGTTGCAGCTGTGTGGCTGCTCCCTGGCCTTTCCACTGCCACACAGTGCCAAGGGATGGCCTGAGTTAGTTTGTCGTCTGAACCCAGGATCATGGTTTAGCTCTACCAGACAAACCACAAGCCATAAACCATAAGCTGAACCTTGGTTGCAACTAATCCAGAATGCGGCAGCTAGACTGGTGACTGGGAGCGGCCGCCAAGATCAAATAACACCACTCTTGAAAGACCTACATTGGCTCCCAGTACGTTTCCAAGCACAATTCAAAGTGTTGGTGCTGACCTTTAAAGCCCTAAATGACCTCGGTCCAGTATACCTGAAGGAGCGTCTCCACCTCCATCATTCTACCCAGACACTGAGGTTCAGTGCTGAGGGCCTTCTGGTGGTTCCCTCACTGCGAGAAGTGAGGTTACAGGGAACCAGGCAGAGGGCCTTCTCGGTAGTGGCACCCGCCCTGTGGAACACCCTCCCATCAGATGTCAAAGAGAACAATAACTACCAGACTTTTAGAAGACATCTGAAGGCAGCCCTGTTTAGGGAAGTTTTTAATGTTTGATGCTGTACTGTGTTTTTAATATTCTGTTGGGAGCCACCCAGAGTGGCTGGGGAAACTCAGCCAGATGGGCGAGGTATAAATAATTTATTATTATTATTATTATTATTATTATTATTATTATTATTCTGGGGAAAGTTAAACCATGAGCTACAGTTAAATCAAGCAATTTCTTAGATCAGTACTGCTGCAGAATGAATGAGAAGGAGCAAAGTGACCATGATCTCATATCCAGGAAACCACACGCTTACACTTAGCATGATCTGTTAACTATTGCATTCAGGCATAATTACTGTTAAGAGCTTACAATTATTGTGGTTTTAGCCTTTTATTAGCAGGAATTTTTCAGTCCTGAGAATTTGAAGAAACAAAAAAGTATGTCATTGGCTATATATATATATATATATATATTTATGATAGTGTAATTTATGAGTTTTAAGGCCATGTGCCTGTTGTATATGCATGTACGCACCAACCCAGGACTCTGACCTGACCCAGCTCCAAATCAATCTGCGAAGAGAGAGCTAATGTTTAATTAGGGAAAATTTGGTCCGCCATCTTTATTCAAAATGATGCCCAGCATCCAAACATAGATGAAGTCCATCACCTCTTCTTCAGGAACATTTGTGCCAAGTTTGGCAACCATTTCTTGGGAGGCATCCAAATTGGAGCAGGTTGTCACTACCCCCACCAAACTGGGGAACATCTTCAGACCTGTCCAAATTGGTGCAGGTTCGAACCATTAATGGGTCTGGCCCTGTAAACCTGAAGGAGTGTCTCCATCCCCATCGGTCAGCCTGGACACTGCAGATGACAGTACAAGTGGCTGAGAAACTTTCTTGTTCTGTTATATGTAGCCAGAGCAATTAGAAATCTAGACCATTTTCATGCAATCTGGTATAAATGTATTGAATACACAAATGAGCCAGAAACTGAATACGCACACCGAATATACATGGAAGACTCTGGGATGATTTAATTAGATGAGAAGGAAAAGAAAGGTGGCAGACCCTTCAAAGCATTCTAATGTCAAGTGGTGTTCTTGTTCTTGTTGTTATCATTACTCATTACATTTATATACCACTCTTCATCCAAAGATCCCAGGGTGGTTTATATCATACAGTAGTCCACCCCACTGTTGTAACCGTGTATGTTGAGAACAATTAGATTATATTTCTTTCATTGCACCATGACACATTGCTTGTACAGTGGTACCTTGGTTCTCAAACTTAATCCGTTCCAAAACCAAAGCGTTCCAAAACCAAAGCGTTCCAAAACCAAGGCGCACTTGGTCACAGAAAGTAATGCAATACAGATTAATCCATTACAGACTTTCAAAAACAACCCCTAAAACAGCAATTTAACATGAATTTTACTATCTAACGAGACCAGCGATCCACAAAATGAAAGCAATAAACAATGTTGTCCAAGTTGTTTGAGTACCAAGGTGTTTGAGAACCAAGGTACCACTGTATTACTGTAAATATTTTCCTGAAAGGTACTGTTTTTGTCTGTATGTTGATAATGTTATTTCTTGCAAAATGTTTTTGAAAAAACAGCACAGTAGAATACAGCCCCCAATCAGGCGCCTTCTTCAGTTCTCTCATAGCATCAGAATAGTGTGTCTGTGCTTTTATCATGGAACACAGACATTGGGTGTGGCTATTTTCTGCTTCTGGGGTGTGGGTGCGTGTCTCTGTGTGCATTCGTTTCTGTAGCCAAAACTTCAGGCATTCCAAGCATGTGTCTTTTCTTGAGGGAAATCTTTGTCACTGCCATGTGTACAGAGAGATCTGGGTTTTCACCTTCCCATGCCATCTGGACTGCAATTATTTCTTCAGACCCTAGCCATTTAATTTGGTAGTGTATTTTATAACTGCTAATACTCGGTGCTTCTATAGTTCCCGAGAGATTCTCTCTTTGCTCATAGCCTCAAAAAAGGGGGGAGGAAATTAAATGCCTTGTAGTTTCTCAACAACTTTAAACATTAAAATTGTTCTAGTTTTCTTAAGTATGGCCAAAGCTGGAAAAAGGAAAAGGAAAACCTTGTATGCACTTAGCACTAAGAACAGGATTCCAAAATCTTCAGGTAGCCTTGTTAGCCAGGCTAACATTTGTGTTTGCCAAAATCTCTGCCCCTTCAATGGACAAGGGTTTTGTCTCTGACATATCACACTGTACTTTGAGTCCTAGCACAAATGTGGGGAATGTGGACTTGTCTCTCTCCTAGCCCCGTTATACAACCTTTAGAAGTTCTTGAGATGTCTCCAGTTCAGTTATGACTGTCTTCATCCTTGTCATGCTATTCTGAGACACTCAGAAGGCAGTGAAATATTGCATTCTCTTTTTAAGCGCAAGTTGTGATTTGCCAAGGAAATTAAGCATGGCTCGGTTTATCTCTGCTGCAGTTTATTTATGTCCACATTATTTTCTATTTATGCTACCTTATTTCACTTTTACGCTGTTAAACTTTGTTTCGGAATGGCCTGATGGCTAGAAATCTCACTGCGCTCTGATTGATTTCAAAACCTGGTACAATGTCAAGTAAAGCCCAATCCTTCTCTAGGCTCCAGAAAATGGGACTCTCTCAAGTTGAAATGTTGTCGGGAGAGTAAACACTGTACTCACAAACACAACTGTGAACCCCTGACCAAGAAGCAGAGCTTTGCTTTTAGAAAGCAAAGTTCTGAAGCGGAGGACAAGTTTAATGCTAATGGGTTCTTGTTGAACTGCTGCATGTGATTATCAGTTCAGAAATGGCACAATGATAAATAGCAGATCGTGTATCTCACTGGATTTGACTAATGACATTGCCACTGCAGTACCCTGGCTTCTCTCTTCACATCAGGCTTGTTTGCTTTTCCAGTTCATTACATTTCTTCTGTGTAGCAGTTTTATGACCCCCTAAGGTCAGTGTGATACCTGTTATTAGAAGGAGCAGGGAAGAGAATGCAAACTATAGTGTTAATTTAAGCTGGAAGTCCATTTTGATTTCAGTATTTACTAATGTTGAGATTAACTATTTGGGAGGGGGGGAATATACAGTGATTGCCAAGTTGTGCATTCATGGGACTCTGCTACATTAGTCAAAAGACAGTGTTATAAATGCGTTATAACACTGTGACATCAGATGGCGCTGTAGAGCTGAAATTGCAACTGTCAGCTTTCAGTTGTCAGCTTTACAACTTTTTTTACAAATCGTTTTCAGAGCGTACTTTATAGCTGTGTAGATCTAGCCTTGGTTCATACACTATTAGTAGTCGAACAACTTGAAGCAGATTTAACTTTACTGCGGAGTATGGGCACACATCCAATCAAAAGATCTTTGCCCAGACAACTATGTTTACTACAAAGAATACAAATTCCAGGCAACTGGGACAAATAAACAGCCTGATTTTTTTAAAAAAACAACAACAAAGCAATGGACCAGAGGTAATTTGGATTCATCAAGAGTTCAACGAATTGTTGTTGATTTTGGTAGTTGGACTATCTTTATAAAACCAGTGATTGGTTTCTAGAAGAAAACCAAAGGTAAGAGTCCTACAAGGAGTAAAAGCATGATTGGTCAAATGTTCTGACCAGGAGTCAAAGAAGTAAATTGGACTTAGAGATTTAGAGAATGAGAGAACCCTGATGGGAGAGGACCTGAAATCCAGTGGCGACAACTGAGGAGAGCAAGAAGCCATGCTGTGAGGTGGTAGTGAAATTTCCATAGGCAACTTGGTTTTGCATTAGACCTATTATATAAGAAACGGTAGAGACATTTTATCGTTGTTATATTTGTTTAGAACATTTCTGAGCTGTTCCTTGCGAGATTCCTCATAAGAAATCAAAGTTCAGTGTGTGTATGTGTGTGTGTCTAGTCCTGCCCTTAGTCCCTCTCTGTGGTGAAATCTAAACAGAGCAGAATTAATTTTTGTTTGTCCAGCACTCCCTTTTGAGATTAACATTCCTGTCAGTAATTGTTTTGCAGTACTTGATTCAAAGGCTACAGTGTTGGCAGTGGCCTCAAATCAAATTGCTATTCGCTTACCTGTGGCATCAAAACCTACATTCAAACCAGATTGTTCTGGTTGTTGATGGGATCAGCTGTAGATGAGTGAAGACTGAATTTTGCATATTGTTTCAAAAATAACTAGTAATACCTTTTCAAGTAAAGCAGGATTGTGGGGTGGGGATTTGAAAAAGTAAAGAAGCCAAGAGGGTGGAGAATGAGTGTGGCAATCACACAGGGTCCCCGGATGTTTCACCGTCTCTTGATCCCTGTGCCACCACTTCATTTCTTGCTGTTACCACCCAGGCCCTACCTGGTAAAATACTGAGTCCAGTCAGGGTTACATTGGAACATCAACTTCTGTTTATTTATTGCAGTTTAACAAGCGTGTGGTTTCATAAACGGTATCGGTCAATTATAATCATGGGGTGCCTATCCAGACCTATAACTTCCGCTACCTGCTCTCACTCACTAAAACCACCTCTCAGATGTTTACTTGTCTTCCTAGCTCTGAACTGTTCCTGACTCAGCTTATTTCACTACACTAACTCAACATATCCACAAACTCTATCCCAATTCACTCCCACTCCAACTCCCAACGAACTCCTCCCTTCGCCCCTCCCACTGGTGGTTTTATAGTCCCTCTGACTCCACCCCCCTGGGTTCTGATTGGGTAACCTGTTTAACTATTTCACCTCCAGCACTCTCATATGTTAACATCATAATGAGCTGCAGAGCTTCACATGAGGTTTGAAATAAATCAGCTTTTCCTTTGACTAGGCCCTCTAGTCCTTTAAGGCTGCAATCCTAAACATAGGTAAAGGTAAAGGGACCCCTGACCGTTAAGTTCAGTCACGAACGACTCTGGGGTTGTGGCGCTCATCTCGCTTTACTGGCCGAGGAAGCCAGTGTTTGTCCACAGACAGCTTCCGGGTCATGTGGCCAGCATGACTAAGCCGCTTCTGGTGAACCAGAGCAGCTCACGGAAACGCCGTTTACCTTCCCGCTTATTTATCTACCTATTTATCTACTTGCACTTTGACGTGCTTTCGAACTGCTAGGTTGGCAGGAGCAAGGACCGAACAACAGGAGCTCACCCATTGCAGGGATTCGAACCATCAACCTTCTGATCGGCAAGCCCTAGGCTCTGTGGTTTAGACCACAGCGCCACCTGCTTCCCTTACTTACTTACTTACTAGCTAAAAAGTGTCACTGAACTCAGTGTAACTTACTTCTAAGTAAGCATAATGAGATTGTGTTGCACATGATTCTAATTATTCCCCATTTAAATGCTCTCTTTTCTTTATTTAATTCCCATAAAGAGAATAATAGGCTGATTCTTTTTTAGAAGTCAGTCATTTGAATGATTAGTTCAGAATTTATAGAGCTGCAATTGAGAAACTATTTCTTTTTTTAAAAAATCTTTTTGTAATTAAGAAATAATAAACCTTAGTTGCACTACTCTTGTATATAGCAGACCAATGTACTGCAGATAGCAACATCCAACAAAGCATAAAGGATACTAGAAAAAAATTGCAACACTGTGTTTTGTTGTTGAGCAGAAATGCCAGATGTACTAAGAATAAAGTTTTAAAAAATGAGAACACACAATAAAAATGCTAAAATGGACAAACAACACAAAATTTATTACTGTATAGTAAAATTGCAAGACTGCCATCGTGCTACAATTTCAATAGTTGCCAATAGGTGGCGATGGCAAATCCAACATGACAGCAGCCATACAACAGGCAGGTGAGCATGCTGGCAGCAAGTGGCTGAGGTGAGCTGTATAGATGAGAGAAGAGGGAAGGGGCTTTGTGCAAAGAGAGGGGGGAGTGGTTGGCCAGGTGTGGGGCAAGGTAGATTGGCAAGGGGTTGGTAGGTGGGGTTGGCGAGAACAGCAAATGGGATGTCAGCCCCTAGTACATTACCAAAATAGCACTTGAACTATGTCAAACAAGCATAGCTTAGATGCAGTCTCAAGTTTATTCAATTTTAGTACAGTGGTACCTCGGGTTACGAACTTAATTCGTTCTGGAGGTCCATTTTTTACCTGAAACTGTGCTTAACCTGAGGCATGCTTTCGCTAATGGGGCTTCTCGCTGCTGCCGCGCCACCGGCGCACAATTTCCATTTTCATCCTGGGGCGAAGTTCGTAACCCAAGGTACTACTTCTGGGTTAGCGGAGTTTGTAACCCGAAGCGTTTGTAACCCGAGGTACCACTGTGTATAACTGTGACAACTGATGGAGTGATATTATTTGCATATTAGTAGGTAGTATATAAGAAATTTGGTTGTGATTAACCAGCAGCTTACTTGGTTACTTGAGTGATTATATCAGCTTACTTGAGTGATTATATCAATGTAATAATGAAAATTGGGGGATAAGGCTGGAGCCATATATTATTGACGGTTAGCTCCTCCGTAGTCCTGTCTGTTGCTGTGTTGGTTTTCGTTTGTTGCCTATAAGGCACCTCAGTGGTACCTTGGGTTACAGATAAGTACCTTCAGGTTACATACACTTCAGGTTACAGACTCCGCTAACCCAGAAATAATACCTCGAGTTAAGAACTTTGCTTCAGGATGAGAACAGAAATTGCGTGGCAGCAGCGGGAGGCCCCATTAGCTAAAGTGGTGCTTCAGGTTAAGAACAGTTCCAGGTTAAGAACAGACTTCCGGAACGAATTAAGTATGTAACCAGAGGTACCACTGTATTGTAATTCACAACAGGCGTTTAATCCATAACGGAGAAACAGCAGGAATTATTCCAAGCCTAGCTATGAACCAAATGGAAACATATTTTGCCTTGTTGACATTGGATACTTGATAGGGTCTGATCCATCTCCCCATTGCTACTCTCCATCAGCCTACTCCATGAAATAGTGGTTGGCTGGATAAGCAGGTTGGAGAAAAGGGCTTAGAGGCTGATGGGTGAGCCAGAGGAGGTTGAGTTCTTCTCAGTCATTATCTAAACTTGCATGACTCTTTTATGACCTTTGCGCCCCCAAAATGGTTGCTTAAGCCTCTCCTCCTTCCGGAGGGGAGGGATTGTGAGCGGGAGACGATTCCCGCATCATGCAGGGGGCATTCTGCCCCCTGCCCTCTCATCATTGGTGGCACGCCACGCCTCCCAGTTGGGCACCCAATCGGGTGCCACCGCGGGGGGCATGGTTTAGCCGCTCAGATGCGGCCGTGCCAGCTCCCCCCCCATTGCTCTTCAGATTTTCCACGAGTCACCCACCCACCACTCCCACCACTTTAGGGCGTAGCTTCTCGCTCGACCTTGCTATGGACCCATGGTTGGTCGCCCTGGTTGCCCAGGGGGCCTGGTAGGAGTTTTTTCCAATTGGCAAATTGGCACCGGCCTCTTGGTTTTTTTCGCCTACCTCGTAGCAATCATCACAACTTTCTTGGTATTTGGCGGTTAGGCATTGGAATGTGTTGTTGGTGTATGGAAGGGCAAGGTGTGGCCATCGCCTACCCCTTCACTTATGGGTATTCCGTTAAAGGAATCAGGCGATCGTGGATCCTGTCCGATACCCTGTGGGGCGGGAGACCATGGCACGACCCCCGGTGACATCAGGGGAGAGCTTATAGTTGTATTTGCATCAACAGGCTCCCCCTACTGGTGGTTAACCCCTCATCAGACTCACCCCTCTCCGAGTGGGTGGAGTCAAATTTGCTGTGGTCCAATGCTTAAGCCAATACCTTCTCACATGCTGTAATCAATAAAATTGTGGCCTTTTCTTGCCCATTAACCTAATATACTGTGTCCACGTGTCTTCATTCCCCAAGCGGGGATCGGGTCATCGAATCACAATGTAAGATTCTATGGAATATATATTTAACAGTTCAAACAGTGAATATAACTGAGAATATTAGTGTGAACTCCCTATATACAAATATTCTGTACAGGCACCATACAATAGAGAATACCCTGTAAAAGAGACACCTTAGAACCACCTACACATGTTCTAGCAACCCTGTGGAAATTGCTTCAATTAAATACTTTGATTTTAATAAAAATGTTCCTAGTAGGTTTCAGAAATAGCTATGAGATCCCCCGGTGGCTTCAAAATCACCAATTGGTATGCAGCTGGTTTTGAAAACAAATTCGTTCTTCTGAAAACCCTATTTTTGTATTGCAGAAATACATTACTGTTTGTGTAATACAAAGTGGGGCTTCGTCAAAATTGCATTCTTCATTTCTTTGGGTTATTATAATCTGAAACAAAATGCAGAACAACGCAAGTTTAATTTGAAAGGTTTTAATCAAGAGAGAGAGAAGTGTTATTTAGCAAGCATTTAAGAAAATCTACAGATAAACAAGGATCTTGCTTTGCTGTTGACTTGCCCTCAGTATTTGAGAAATGCTTTATCATATGGGCATGTTTGTGTGCATCAGAATTTGCATTAATATTTATGCTTTTTAGCTCTATTTTAAAAGGCGGGGAGGGGCATGGTAACTTGTGTAGCAGGGGTTAGTTATTGCATGACTTGCTATAATAGCAAGTTTTAAAATTAAAAAAAACAACAACTATCCAATGAACATGTGTACCTTATTTTTTGAAAGTGCCAACATACCTTTAAACAAATGCTAGCACATGTCGTAAAATATTCATTTTTTGAGATTCTTTTTAACCATTAAAGAGAAATGAAAACCTGCAGGTTTGGCCTACAAAGCCGCCCCAAAATTGGTTCAAATACATACCTGATATAATACATGGGCCAAGGATGTGGAGCGCTTGTGTGTGTGTGTGTGTGTGTGTGTGTGTGCAGTTGCCGTTCAGTTTCCTATTGTGTGGTATGTGAAGGGTGTCTGAGTGAAAGATCCTAACTACCAAACCAAATCCATTGCTTGGAAATAAGTTTACTGAATTGCATCGGGTCTTTCTTCCATTCAGGATCATGGTGTAAATACTGCAGTTCAGCAAATAACCAATTTGCTGCTGAAAAATACATGGTTAGTTTTAGGGAAAGCTGCTGTTGATGTTTTCGTGGGATATCTAGCTTCACTGCAGATAGTGGTGTAGCCATCATTCCTCTCTTTACATGGGTCCCTCAGAAGTTTTATTGTCTAATGTTTGGGATGTAAAGCTCAGCACCTGGGGAATTTGATATTTCATGAGGGATGCTGTTGGCTTTTGAAGGTATCTGGTGCTGACTGACTGCTGACAGAAGGGAATCCATCCGAGGAACAGGGAAGGAGGTAATTATTGGCGCGTGCGTGCGTGCGCGCGCACACACACACACACACACCATGCCTCCTACAGCATCCTGCAGCTCCATCTCAAAGCAGTCCCTCAATTCTCCAAACCAGACTTAGAGTTGTGGGGGATCACCAAAATAATATTAATATTAATATTATTATTAATAATAATAATTGTTAAGTTGTGGGTGAACATATCAGACGACACAGCGATTCTTCAAACAGCTCTTGTTTATTCAGAGGCCAGAACAGAACTGAACTGAAGGGCTCAGTCAGCCTACTTATATAGAGCTCCAGTACAACGTTACTGTAGCAACTTTCTAAAACTATCCAATCACTGAACGTCACTTTCGATCCTTCATTTGCATAAAAACTATCCAATCACTGAACGTCACTTTCGATCCTTCATTTGCATAACTATCTACAGTATCCCCCTGCTGGCCCAGTGAGAACTTCAGTACATAACAACAACAACAACAATAATAATAAATGCTAATTGAATGCTGTAATTGCTCAAGAAGACAGCTCTTACCCTGGTCAGAAAGAGGAAGGAGAGGGTCACAATAAATGGATCGTTTCAGCAGTTGTTAAACACGAAGCCACCAGTGTCATGTGAGAAGAATATAGTGGTAGCAGTTTATTTATTTCAGTGGGTTTGTAATCTTAACAAAATAAATACATACATACATACATACACACATACATACATACATACTTCAATTTATTTGCCTCTCCACAGTTCAAACACTGCTCAAGGCGGCTGACAGCATAAAAAGAATACATAACTACAACATAACAAAAGTGGACACAGACAGTAAATTAATCATTAAAAAAGTACAAAACCATGCTGGACAATTTCCACATGAATCACAACAAAATCTAAAATAAAGATACAAAAAAGAAACAGCAACACCTGTCCCTCCTAAACAAAACCCCACTCTGCATAGAAAGATCTTACCCATCTGGTATGGGCACCATAAAATATTTAGAAAATTCTTCATGGAAAGGTTATTTGTTTTCTAAAAAGGGGAAATGGGTGAACCTTCTGGTAACTCGAGGCAAAAACTATTGACGTTGGCGATTCTTTAGCAGTATTGGTTTGCTGTACAAGCAGAGACAATACAAAAATACAGATTTTGATGCACCTGTTAGTGCAGATATTAATTTTTCCATATGAACAATGATCTTTCAATCCCAGCAGCTTAAGGTTTCTAAATCTAGCAACCCTTTGATTGTAAGCTACAGGATTTGTGTAGTGTTGCTGTAATGTTATACTGATTCAAAAGATCAAGTGAGAGAAGCCAAAATAGAAAGGCTGGGGAGGGGACAGGTATAAATGATGTTTTCTTGCTAAATGTATATACGTCAACCAGGAAAATATCACAATAACCAACCCAGTTTTTTGCCTTCAGCCTGTCTGAGGTCATGTGGGTTGGAGTCTGACCACTAGTCCAAAAAGGAAAGGCTGTTTGCAAGAGTTCTGCGGTGTGTTTTCCTGGAAAAGGTGAGAGGATAAAAGCAGAACTCTCAAATAAACCTCGTGCCCTATGTGAGACTTTATACACAGACCTTTTGTTTAACTGCTGGAGGCAGATGTTCTTTTCATTTACCTCTCAAATTGGTAGGTTAAAAAACAAATAAATTTCATGCTCTGCTTGAATGAAGTGAAAGTAATCCTGTTGTTCTCTGTTTTGCTTGCTAGTGTTTGCTGGTTAATATTTTCTTGACCGTCAATAGTAAACATTCTAAATATTGAGGAAACGTGATAATACCAAAGGAATTATTGCTTTACTGTTTAGAATTCGGGTTTGCATGACACAGCTGTAATCTACCGTTATGCTGAGGTAGATTCTATAAACTGAGGGGGAATGCTTTTTTAAAAAAGCAAGCCTTGCTTCATTAGTGTTCCAGTAATCAGTTCTTTTAATTTTCTAATATCTATATGGTTTTTTTGGTTCTACCTTGTGTATATGCATTTTAAAATGTTTCTTGTCTGCTTCCCTACAATCTTTTATCTGTTTTTAATAAAATAGGTTATATTTTGCCTTTATTTTACAGTAATTTCTATTGTTGTTTTTTTATTTATTAGCTTCCTCCTTTTAAAAATCGATATCTAATTATATTGATCATAAATACCTGTTTAGTGATGGTATCACTAGAGGGCAGTATTGATTAAATTAGTCTACTGAATAATCAGAACATGACCTTGCATCTTAAACAGAAAACACCTGTTATAAATCATATTTATTCACTGCGCTGTACTATACTGTGTCTGAATGAGGCTGCATTTCAGAGTATTGTGTGTACAATATGTTAAGAGCTTCCATTCTTTTTTCTGAAAATGTTTATTGAACTTTCTTTACCCAGTTAAGGCCAAGACAAATATTTTATATTTTTGGAGGTGATGGCAGTGGAGATCAGTAAATAGCCGGCACTAGTCTAAAACGTCTGTTGATCAAGTTTGCGGTTAAGATATGTACTCATTTGTTCTTATTGACTTGCAGGTCTCCTGACAAATGCATCAACAGAGAAGCCTTGTAGGAGTTTTTAAGCTCTGCGTGGGCTACATTCCCTAGTCAAGTTTCACGGCTGTGGATCATCCATTATATGTCATCAACTCAACTGTCTGTTTCTCTGTATTTCATCAAAGACAGCATAATTCTACGTTATGAGCTAAAGTCTGTTCTACCATACTAAAGAGCACTGGACTAAGGAAGAGAGAGAGATAAATGCTTGGGCATTAGCAATACGAAAACAAAACAAAACACCAGTTCACAGTTAACGTCTCATCTGCGTTTTGCGCCACTGCTGAACTTGATCTGTGGTCATGTTTCAACGGGACGAGTCAACTACACTGGAGAGTATTCATCCCAATCAGCCTTAGAGAAGACTGTTTTGTCTACGGGAGGACACTAAGGTGCAGAAGGCAATTTCTTCTTGTGCCCTAGACTGCCTAATTGCTTTTATTTTCTTATGTTTCAGTATATACAATAGACCAAAGAGCAAAATCTATTTTAAAGTGGACACGATGTTACTGTTAACAAGGTTATTTGGGTTCAGTAGTATGGGGACCACCTTGCACGGATTCAACTCGCCCAGTGCTGCAATATTGCCGTCCAGCAAAAGTCCTTGTGGAACACTGCAGAAAAGGCTGGAACTGCTCTTGGGGAAAGGTACACGGAAAAACACGAGGGAACAAGGAGGGGAAACGGCCGTTCTTCAACAAGAAAACAGAACTTTGATCAAAAACAACACAAACTGTCTACGCACCACCTTTACTCCTCTGTGCTTAGATTGACTTCTCGTACTAAAAATCATTTTGAGTTTAACCAGTTCAACATGCCTCTTCTATGGTTCCATTTTTTGATCGTTAAAAGTTGGATAATACAGTATTTGCAAAGAGCATGTTTGGTCATCTGTGGCCTATGTCTCATCTGATACACCATTTAGCACCAGAAAGCAAAATCCAAGGGGTGGGGTGGGGGGGAAGTAACACTTGTTTGAAAGAGATCATTAAATGTATTTTGAAAAGCCTAAAGTTATATATTTAACAGTTTTTATATGTTGTATATTTGTAGAAAATCCTATTTAACAATTAACGTGGTAACTCTGACAGTCATGACAAAAAAGAAAAAAATATGGATCAGAGTTGAGTTGTTGTTTTATTACTTCAGTTGTCTCTGAAGTGACTGGCGTAGTTTGCTTTCTTCCATTGGGACATTCTGGATGTAAAGCATGACCAGAGAGGACTCTGTAGAAAAAGCAAAGAATAATGTTGTTTATATTACATAAATGCATTCAACCATTGCACTGTTAGAAGGCTTTCTCTCTCTTTCTTCCCCCCCTTTCATTTTCTCCCTTTTTTCTTTGAGGGGGGTGGTCTTTTGTATACCAGTCAAAAACAGTGTAAAATATTTTAATCATTTACTTCCCATACTGAGTTAAGTTCTTTTCTCTCTCTCTTCTCTCCCCCTCCTTTCCAATTTGGTATAAGGGTCAGCTTGCTCCTTGACAAGATATAGGTGGTCTGTTTGTTTTATCTCATACTTTAGAAAGTCCCCTTGTCCAATATTATGTAGGGCAGTGAAGAGTGCTATTTAAGAAACGAGAGAAGGAAAGAAGATAGAGTCTAGACCAATAACCTCCAAACATGGTACCTTTTTGTCTACTACAAGTATTGCTCACAGTGATATGACGAGGTCAACAAATGAGCTTTCCTCCTTCCCCCCAAATATTTGCCGATATTAAACTCCCCCCCCCCAGTGTCCACTGTAGTATACTACCTAAATACTCCAATTAACTTTTAGTGTTATGCTAGTTCTATGCTACTAAAGAAAAAAAATATATAGGGATTGTTCAAGCAACCATAGATGAGAGGTATGAAAAAGAAGTTCGTTTATTTAAGACCTCTTCCAATTTTCAGGATTATTTTAATGCACAGGTTGAAGAAACCATGAATTGTAGGTGATAGTGTCTATGAATAAAACATGTACATGGACGGTCTTATTTCATCCTAAGGGTTTTGATCAGTGTCCAAGTAGCAATTAAAGCCCAGCCACTTGAAAAGCATTATGAACTGACTGCACTATAAATGACCAATGTCTGATTCAAAGTGTCATGCAATAAATGATCGCAGATACTTCACCTGTATTACAAGAACTGGAGAGCCAGATCCCCCACTCCGCTGATTTTCTCTTCTGTTATGGTTTCATTTTTTATTTTTCAAGGGAGTGTAGCAGCCTTATTTAGTAAATACTGAACAAAAAATTAAAATGTTTCAACATTTTTGTTGCTTTACAGTATTCAGTTTTGTGTTGGTTCAGCTAAATTATGAAAAAAATAAAGAAAACCCTTTTATAAGTGAGACTTTTGTTCACTGCTTATGACATGAGACAACTTTCTCAGGAGGGAGGGAGGAGGTGGGTATGTGAGGCGAACGAATCATTACTTTATTTGGAAAATGGTAGTTCGGTCAGGACCATTTCTGGACTGTGCTGAAGTGGAGACTGCAACCATCTCCTTGAAATGGCACTCAACACAGAAGGATTTGGAAAACACAGGCAGATAACTAGTTTTCTGTTTTCTAAAGTTAACTACCAGCTGATTAGCTTCTAATCAAACTGACAATTATGTGCATAAATCATCATCAATCTTTATTACGGTCCAGAGACCCAACAAAACATTAATACAGAGTTCATACAGTCTACCTCCAGGTTAATCAAGCACTTTGTTTGGAATATAGGGCTCGTTTGTTCTTGCAACCACCGATAAAAACTTTGCCACTGCCAACGTTCTAGCTTTTGTCCGGTCTTCCAGTAGGAACCTGACATAGTGAGCCTCTGACTTTCCCGGGAAAGGCACCTGCAAGGGTAGTATCAGTTCAGCCCTGGCCTGCTCATACTTCGCACAATGTAACAAAATGTGATCTATGGAATCGATGTCTTGAGCACACAAGCAAAGTCTGTCCTGGTAGGGAACTCCTCTCAACCTACCATCCAGCACTGCAGAGGGGAAGACATTCAGTCTGGCTTTGGTGAAAAGCCTTCGATAGTTAGGTACTGTTAGGTTTTTGATGTAAGATGTTAACTCAAAGACATACCCATATTGAACTCCTACTGCCAGCGGACTACAGACTGCGTGTGACCGAGATCGCAAGTCACTGTGTGCATTGTCCCATAATCTTTTCTTTAAAACCTTTTGGGCGCCTTCATAGCCCAGGTAATACAGTTGGGGGGGGGGGACAGACCAATAGAGGTGGCTTTTTTAGCCATGGTTTTCTGCCATTTGCTGACAAATTCCTCATTGGTCAAATGTTGGTACAGACCCTTCCCTAGATTAAACACTGAAATCCTGAGCCGATGTTTTAGGGCAGCCCACCACGCTCTAGCTGAAATTGGGCATAAAAGTTAACTTTGATTATAATGGGGATTAAAAATCGTTGGCTACGTAAGGTCAAAGAAACTTACCCAAGCCTCTCCAGGAGGCATGGGGGCCTTTCTGAACAATGTAGGATGGGGGATGCTGGAGAAGAGGAAAATTGCTCTGCATTACCTAATTACTAAGGATGTGGGTGGCGCTGTGGTCTAAACCACTGAGCCTTTTAGGCTTGCTGATCAGAAGGTCGGCGGTTCGAATCCCCGCGACGGGATGAGCTCCCATTGCTCATTTCCAGCTCCTGCCAACCTAGCAGTTCAAAAGCACGCCCAAAAAAAGTGCAAGTAGATAAATAGGTACCAATCCGGTGGGAAGGTAAATGGTGTTTCCATGCGCTCTGTTTTCCGTCACGGTGTTCCATTGTGCCAGAAGTGGCTTAGTCATGCTGGTCACATGACCCAGAAAGACCGTCTGTGGACAAACGCCGGCTCCCTCAGCCTGTAAAGCGAGATGAGCGCCGCAACCCCAGAGTCGTCTGCAACTGGACTTAACAGTCAGGGGTCCTTTACCTTTTTTACCTAATGACTACAGTTTCAGGCATTCAAATGCATGGTTTTCTCACACTTACCTATGGGAAAAAATGTTTCCTGTACATCCCATGAAAGTCCCAGGATTTGAATGAAAAACATGACTGTATGAATCAAGGTGCGTACCATTCTTTGGCTTGTGGGAATGCCTTAGTACAGACAGCTAGTCATTTCAGTGTGTGAACAGGATGGAGTAGTAGCTTTACTTACTTACTTACTTACTTACTTACTTACTTACTTACTTTACTTACCTTGTAGGCTCTGAAAATAAGTTTTTAGTTTACATGGACCCTACCCAGAAAATTTTAATTTACATGGACCCTACCCATCTTTCAACCCTACCTAGGTTGAAAGATGATGCCCTTTTAATGCATTTTGATCTTCACCATAGAAGGGTTAATTTAGGTTGCAAATCTATCCATACTTTACCTGAGAGTAAGCATTACCTGAAAGTAAATGTGCATATGATTGCGTTGTTAGTTAGCAATACTTCTTTACTTTATCATATGAACTCAATATTACTTTTTTATGTAGTAAAGGTAAAGGACCCCTGACAGTTATGTCCAGTTGCGAATGACTCTGGGGTTGCGGCACTCATCTCGCTTTACTGGGAGAGGGAGCCGACGTTTGTCCACAGATAGTTTTTCCGGGTTATGTGACCAGCATGACTAAGCCACTTCTGGCAAAACCAGAGCAGCGCACAGAAATGCGTTTAACTTCCCACCGGAGCGGTACCTATTTATCTACTTGCACTTTGACGTGCTTTCGAACTGCTAAGTTGGCAGGAGCAGGGACTGAGCAACGGGAGCTCACCCATTGCGGGGATTCGAACCGCCAACCTTCCGATCGGCAAGCCCTAGGCTCAGTGGTTTAGACAACAGTGCCACCCGCTGTGTATATAGTACCTGTTGTAATTGGCTTAATTTTGTAATTGGCTGAATTTGTTCATTGAGCTGAATGGCGCTCTGCCTTAGTACAATCTGTTTCTCCTTGCTCTCACGTTACAGTGGTACCTCGGGTTACAGACGCTTCAAGTTACAGACTCTGCTGAGCCACAATTATTATCTCGGGTTAAGAACTTTGCTTCAGGATGAGAACAGAAATCGTGCAGCGGCGGCACAGCGGCAGCAGGAGGCCCCATTAGCTAAAGTGGTGCTTCAGGTTAAGAACAGTTTCAGGTTAAGAATGGACCTCCGGAACTAATTAAGTACTTAACCCGAGGTACCACTGTACTTTATAATCTGGGTAATCCTGACTGAACCACAATTCTTGCATCCTTGCAAGACTGATGTTCTCTGACTCCAAAGAAAAGAAAATGCACAAAAAATAGGCTAGGAAGCAACCCAATGTGCTCTAATTAGAAATGAATTTTAGTTTTCTAGTTCTCTTTGACAGCAGCTTCAGGCAAGTTCCAGAGGCAGCTCCTTCCAAACTGTCTTTCCAAAATGTAGAATTTTGAATGCACAGCCAATATTTGCTTGGCTGTATGAACTGAAATGTGCACTTAGTGTTGTAATGGGAATGAAAGTATTTATTTCCTATTCTGTACGATGAAGCACATATTTTTGCTTCAGAAATGTGTCCCTTTAGATAGCCTTACCTTTTGAAAATGGTCAAAGACACACAGGCAGTTAAAAAACATATTACTAGTCATACTCCCTTTTCTTGGCTGGGAAATTGGTGTCTAATCTGCCATTATGCCTTTGAAATGATTGTGTTTTAAACAGCAGGCAATGGGAAATCATACGGCAGTTCAAACAAAAGTGAATGTGAGTAAATGTAGCACTTAGTCAATGCAACTTTTAAGAACGAAAAACCTGACTTGCTGGATAAGATCAAGATCCATATAATATAGTATTGTGTTTCAATAGCAGCCAACAAGATGGCTTTGGAAGCTTAGTCTTTCTGAACAAGCTGGATTTTTAAAACCATTATTTTAAATATTAATTTACTACCACAGCTGTTTAATTCAATCCCACTAATGACATTCGTTATACTCACA